CAGTTTTGACAGATGACATTAAAACTGCTAAAACCTAAGTGCGTTGTGGCCTTAACCGCAAGTTTTGAAGTATTCTGCATTTTCTATGCATTGGCCTCTATGTTAAAACATCTAGTGGTAAATAACTCAAAGATGCTGAAGTAATTATATCGTATAAAAAAGGGATTAGATTATTTTACTTCTTTTACTTGCGTTAGCAATTAGTTTACCTTACTCTTGCTTCTTAAAGATAATTTATGAATTTTTACGACTCGCAAACAGTCACTGACTCATTTAGTCAGGATTTTACATAATCAGTATCAATTTTAGCTCCATGTAAAATAAATAAACGTGATGTGTACCAGATAATAATTGTCTGCCTTAATGTTGCAGCTCACACATTTTTATAACTGCTGATTTAAATCGGAGTTCTTCTTAGAGAAACATCAAGCCAAATTTAGCATAAGTCCTCTGTAATATCAGTAATATAAAGTAGTTGTAATATGAATAACTTTAGGCATTTAGTCAGTCAGTAGTCAGCCTGGGTCGAAAACAAATCCTGCACCTAGCCATTGGTGAAATTTCCATGGGCTACAAGGGATTTGTAGTTTCTGAACTGTTCACAGGTATATGCACCTGTACCATAAACAAGATATCTGGTAGTATGAGGTTAGAAGCAGCAAATTGGGGTCAGCACTCCAACTTTCTGCTGTCAGCTTCTATGCATCAGTCAGTGATGTTAATAGATAACAATTCAGCCAAATAACAGTCCCTGGCATCCTTCCTTACTTTTTCTCTGTACTGTATTTTTATCAGTTTGCCTCTGCTTATCCAGTTTGATGATTTAATGGCAAAGGATCACAAAAGGACAAGACTGAAACCCTACTGCACAGAGAGTTGAGTTGTAGGAAACTATGCATTTCTTTTTTGTGCTGACACAAGGACGTTTGTCAGTGAAATGGTCAACCTCACTTTGGCACTCTAGCTCAAAGGATGGGTGTACTTGCACTGCATAAACAGCTCATCTAATTTAAAAGTTTTAAAATAAAGCATAACTCAGCATAACTAATTAGACTAATTAGCCGTTTACTTACAGTGACTGGATACTTAATAATTTAGTCTGTCTAATGGTTTTACCTGCTAACCCCATCAGCTTAAAGCTCAGGTGAAGATGAACATGAAGCTTTATGTACTTGCTGAAGGGCATAAGCACACAGACATAAAGTTATGACCACAGCTGATTTGACAGTTTGTTCAAAACTAACTGTAAATGTGTATCACTGTCATATAAATGTCAGCATGTAAGTGCTACAACATGTAACTTTATTAATGGTGTACATACACACTTCCCTTGATAAGGGCATGCTGTCTCTCTTGCTCACAAACACACACACTCTGGAACACACTTGCACACACGTCCCCGTCGCTGCTTTGATCCGTCCAGCAGTAAGACATTCCTGTGCTGTGGTGAGTAGGAGCAGCAGACAGATTGAGGTGGAGCAGAGTGTATGAATTGAGTGTATTGTCCTGTCAAGGTGGTAAGGTGGAGAGCCCAGGAGACCTGAGCCCACAGGGACCCTCTCCTCAGGGGCCTCAGAGGCCCTCCACAGGGTGCCAATAAGGCTGTAAGGACAGGAGGCCTCCACCTGGGGCTTTTTATAAAAGGAAAATTGATATTGTGTTGAAAGCATGCCTGTACTATACCTGTCCTGCTCCTTGTGAGTTGTTTTCTAAATGTACTTGCCAGCATTTTCCTTCCCTCTGGCTGCCTCTCTTTATCCTTTTGGCCTTCTCTCCTTGTTTTTTTTTTAGTTGTTTTGTCCTGTTGTCGCCTGTCTGTCTTTCTTCCTGTCTTTGTCCACCTGTAAGTTATCCACTGTCATTGATTGTCGTCAGTTATTGGGCCCCCGTTATGTCACCTACCCTTTGTCAATCTTGCTGTCGTTTTATTTTTCAAAGACCCCTTCTTTGTCTCCTGTATCCTTTTTTTCCCATCATCTTCCTCAGTCATCGCCTCCTTAAGCCAGCACCTCTTTGTCTTGTTCACCTGTTGAGACAGAATCCTTTAGGTTTTATTGTTGTTGCCTGAGATTTATGTGGAAAACAGGTCAAAGATACTCTCAGGAGGGCCTTTTACAGTGTTATGGTTCAAAGGACTGTAAAGACAATGGCACAGAGAAGAGGACACAGTGCAAGTGTATACCAGTCTAGGAAAGTAGCCTTTCCTGCTTTTGTCCTTATCTCAAAATCTCACCCTTTCACTTGTCTCTTTCCACAGAAATGACCCTCCATACTTGTTGTCTTAGCCCCAGTCATCTTCTCTTTTGATCTTCATGACATTTCTGGAGCATTTAGATTGCATATACAGTATATTTACCTGTTTCTTACTGTGAATGGTGCACACAAACAAAAAAAGATTAAAAGATAATTCAGTCTTCACACATGTTGTAAGTATTTACACATATTTATGCATACTCTGCCATTGGATATTAAGAATACTCTTTACACATAAGCCCCATTTTCACCGAGCAGTACGGTACGGTTTAGTTAATTTCAGTATGCATTTTTTCAGTCTCCACTGTGAAAAGTTGTGGATGGTACCAACTAAACTGTTGCGTACTGTTCCCATGTTTGGTCACTTCCTCTGTTGGGGTACCTGGCACACAGATCTGGTGCTAAAAGGTGGAACTGTGAACACTGCAGTCCATTGATTGGTCAGTAGTGGACGGGCCGAGTTGTGGCTGGTTTTGTAACCACTGTTCATACTGTGACAGGTCTTACATACATTAGTTAACTATAACTAAAAAAAAGGAAAGGATGGGCCGACTGCCAGGAACTTTTAAGGTGGATCGTTTACTTGTAGTGACTCTTCATTGGTTCCAAAAAAAACCCCTCTCTTCCGCTATCATTTATCTCATCCTCTCACCTCTTCACCTCTCTCACCCCCACCTCTGGCCTCCTTTAGCAGTACATTCTTGTTTTTATGCCCCTTCTCACCCAGCCAGCGTCTGTGTGCGCGCGCACACACACACACACACACACACACACACACACACACACACACAATATACACTCCACACACCCCAAACAAAGAGGCTGACAACTGCTGGGGTTGGTGTTCATAACCTTTGAACTTTTGTCCAGTTCATGGTGCTTTACACACCGGCTAGTTGAATGACAGTGGCAGTTTAACGCTCATATGCACATATACTTTTACCACTTCTCCCTGGTGCTTGCAGATGTGAATGCATTTTTCTTTTGACCTGCTCCCTCAGGTGTACAATTCTGAGGCAGACTGACAACTTAATGCACTGGTTATTTAGGAGAGCAGGAAGGGCACATGGGAGAGAAAGAAAGTAAACATAACCTAAACCTGCAGAACATGGCAGGCTTAGGCACTGACGTGCAGGTTCTCTGACGCTGACAGATAGTACCCATTCCCTCAGGTGTACAATTCTGTACAATGTTATTGTCGATGCTGTTGTTCTATATTTGGCTTTGGAAGTTCATACTGCTGCTGAACCTTGTTTAAGAATGTTATTCTGTGTCTTTAATGATCTAATGATCCACCAGTCTACATCCTGTGATTTGACTGTGTGTTCTTATGTGCAAGATGATTTTTACTTTCATGGCCTCTAAGTACCTGTCCTGTTTTATTTCATTTAAGGAATTGTTTCCATAATTTATATACTGATTTGTTTTGAGTTAATTGTTAAGCATGTAGAGTGATGACAAATGCCCATTACATGTCACAAAAGTCCAAGTATGGAGGCAGGCTGTCTTACTTTAGGTTGTTCCTATTGGCTGTTCTTCAAATGTAGATGTGCATGCACATCCCTGATTCAAGCCTGATTCAATGGCATAGTGACCTGCAGGGAAAGTTGCTGCCAACACTGCAGAGCAACCCAGAAAAAGGGAGACAGTTATCAAAAAAGGGTGTCTTAAATAAAATAAAACCATAGACTGTAAAAATAATGGACGTAGCCATGATAATGTCCCCTAATGATTTGTGGACTCCTGTTTTGAAACCTTAAGTTAGGCCTTTCAGCCATTGCCTCTTTGTTTGTTTTTTGGAGCCAGAAGTGACCATATTTGGGCGAAAGAAATTACGTGTTGTTTATCACTAATGTACACTTTGTGGGTGTATGCATAGGCCTCCTCTACAAAGGTTTTCTAATCACACAGTTTGTGCCACCAAATCTAATCTTCAGTTATAATTGCAAAACATTCATCTTAATATGTCATTTTCTCCATTTTTTTTCTGTCACAAGCAAAAATACATTGTTAAGATGTAAATGTAGTCTTAATAATGGTAATTGAAATGGATTGTTTTCCTCCATACTCTTCTAAAATGTAGGGCAAAATAAAAATAAAAAATTCTAAGTCATGTCCAAGACTTTTTATGAGCTACTCTGATCCATTACAGCAGCAGCCATCGCCTAGGCACATCAAAGCAGCTGACCCTCTGCCTGACACACAATGAGGCCTTATTAGAGAGCCATGTTGGAGAGAATAAAGAAGGAGCAGGGAGGGAGTCAAGCGGGAAGAGAATGTGAAATATTTGTACAATTGGATTCAGAAACCAGGGGAACATTATACATGGACAAGGGCGTGTGCACAGGTGCAGATGGGCTTTTTTTTTGGGGGGGGGGGCTTTTTTTTTGGACACTGTAGTGTGTTACTTTTACTGACAGCCAGGGCTCACCTTTGATATTTTGTACGCATTATCCAAACACACATCCTGCACACATTTTGTTGCTGTAATTTTCCGATGTTCCAGCCACATTGATCATGATGCTTTTAAGCCGTGATGCCTCCAGCTACAGTTACCATTTATCAGCACGTCAGTGTTAAAGTGAATTTGGTCAGTGGGTTCCTGAAATGAACAAGCAGAAATGGACTTTGAGTGGGAACAGTGTACCTTCCTGTTGCCATAAGACTGACAGGTACATACTGCTGATGTCCAAGTTTTGATACACCTGTTTATCTTTCTAACAACCCCTCTTCTTTCTGTTCCACAGATGAGCACGATGCAGTACAGAAGAAAACATTCACCAAATGGATAAATGCACAGTTCTCCAAGGTAACGTAATGCCAAACTTTAACTGCACTACTTAAAATACACTACAAAATGCAAATGTATTCAGAAAGTCTGAGAACCTGAGTTAATGATTTTAAAACTAAAGAGCTTCATCTGCCTGATATTCTGACTGAATATCTGAAGTTGTGAGATTGAATGAGGGTTGTTTCAATCCTAAAATATTGAGTCTGTTTCTGATAACAAGCTGTCCCTGGTGACTGTGATTTTTGTCTTTTGTCCCACACTGAAGAGGGTGACAGGCCTACAGCAGGCTAGCTTTGATGCTCGCAGGGGAGTAAACTCTTGAAATGTTTGCCTCTCGTTGTGTAAATGTTGTTGCCTTTATACTACTTATATATTTATTTTATACTACGTACTTGTTGAAATGAAGCACAAACTTTAATTGTCCAGAACAATGAACTAAACACATTAGTTTGTTTTAATGCATGTTTTACTCTGTCATTCTACACAGCAACAAGTTTCCGCCAGAGTGCTAATGGCTTTACATGTGTGTGGTCCTCTATTTCTGTCTCTTCATTTTTGTAAACATACAGACGAATTGTGTTAAATATGCTTAGCTGATGCTTAGTTGATTTTGCGAAGTGGTCTTGTTTAAATATTTGTACTCCTCAGGCTCGCCAGAATAATCTCTGAAGCTCTTAAATGCTCATAGTTTCACTCTGTCTTCCTTTTTCCTGCTTTTGATGGTTTGAAAATGTTTAATGTCTGTGGTTATGGTAGCAGCTGTTCTGTCCTGCTTAACTTTCTCTTTGTCTTTGATGTATTTCACACTTTCTGATGTCCTCCAAACTTAACTGTTAAGAAAAAGCTAAACTTCACATTTCAGTCAATTTTAAAATGCATGTAGACGTTATGCCTTTTAAAGGAATTTAAGTCCACTTTGACATGTAAATTTCCTCTCAGTCACTGTAAACATCCACATTCCCTGAGCTGATGACATAGTCGATTCATAGTAAAAGGTATACTATGCAGAATGATGGTTACTGGTTTTTCACATGCTGTCCAGCGAAAGTGAAAGTAAAAGCCAGTCCCAGATTCAGTCTTGTTTGTCTCTTGGATGGCTGCTGCTTACAGTCTGGAACCTCGTTGCTACCTTTTTACTAAGTCCTGACCTCACCTGAGTTGGGGCACATGCTAATAAACATCCTGAACATAACAACAAAAGAAATGAATACAGGCAGAGAGGGTAGAGTCTCTGCAGATAAATGCACTGCTGCATACTTCAAGTGTGTCGCAAGTGACGATTGAGAGGGTCTACTTTTTTATGAGTCTTTACATTGCGTCTGCATAGCATACTTTTAGCTCTGACATACATTTATCTGAGTGTGTTAGTCGATTGGCTTGTTTATTGATTTCTTGCTGCAACAACATCTGGTTATTGTTTTCTGAGCTGCAGCCACACTGCAGCTGTCATCCTTGTTGACAAAACATACCAGTTATGCTGTTTTCTCCAATCAGACGGGGAAGACGCCCATCAAAGATATGTTCTCTGACCTGAAGGATGGAAGGAAGCTGCTGGACCTGCTGGAGGGTCTCACTGGCACTGTACTGGTGAGTTTGTGTTTGTGTGTATCAAAGTTTGCAGACAACAACAGCTAACAAATTATTAAGAAATGACTCATCTGAGATTCTGTTAGCTTCACTACTATTGATTTACCGTATCAACAGAGTGCTGCAGGGCTAACTTTTTTTTTGTAGGCCAAAGTTAACATCACCCTGGTTCCCTCCAAAAAAGAATGAGGGTTTTCCATTTGCTTTTGGATTATTGCAGAAAATAAGCTCTGTGGCAAACAAAAGTTTATGATACTTTTACATGTTTTGTTCAGCAAGATAATCTTCACAAATGAACACCACTTTTATGATTTTTGAAGCATGAATACAATCGCTGGGAGCAAAAAGCCACAATTAGGCTTTAAAAAAACTATGTTGCGGTTGCATGACCTCATCGTCACCACCACAACAAGGTTGTAAAGCCGTGTTCAGCATGACGACATTCTGTAGTCTCATTTAGCCACTTGTCAGCAACCACCTTTTTGTTTTTTTTTTGGTTTTTAAAGATAATTTTTAGGGCATTTTGCCTTTAATGGACAGGACAGGTAAGCGTGAAAGGGGGGAGAGAGAGGGGGGATGACATGCAACAAAGGGCCACAGGCTGGATTCGAATCCGGGCCGCTGTGGCAACAGCCTTGTACATGGGGTGCCTGCTCTACCCACTAAGCCACCGACGCCCTAGTCTCGCCACCAGACAATCAGAGATCTCCGCCTTCTGATAGTCTGGGGACACTCCTTTCTAAAGTGTGTTTAACGCACCGGCGAAAACGGCCGGCAACAAAACAACGCCTCTTGCATTTTTGAAAAGGACACGCCTTCTCGGAAATGTGCGTTCCTCCTTTTCTCGTCCGCAAGGAAACAAACACACAGAGAGCTTGAGAATGGATGCCGTGAGATTTAACGCCGTTTTATCAAACGTGTGCTCATCCTTGAAGAAAGTATTTTTTCCAGCGGATGTCTTAGTTACAACATGATTGAGCTAACTGGAGTAGTTTCATGTCGTATCCGACAACAGATGACGTCCTGTTAGCTTTGCTGCTAGTGTTAGCTGTCCCTGTCAGCTGCAGCCACTGATGCTTTCTAGACATCGTGATTTCCTAAAACTGAATAAATACCACACATAGCAACACAAAACTGCTTTGCTAGCTCAATCATGTTGTAACTAAGATATCCGCTGGAAAAGATTTTTTTTTCACGGACCGTTTAATGAGTTATTACCTATTACAGACACTGCTAACGGCTAACAGGGCTAACAACTAACAGTTAGCCCAGCTAAACGTGCACACAGAAATAGTAATGTTTGTTCAATCATTGTGACTTTACAAACATCGGATTAGTCCAAACGGTGATACAGTGATGTGAAAAATGTGATATATAGGCTATATATATAGCTAAAAGCTCTGTTGGTTCTCTACTCGGAAGTATTTGTAAACAACAAGGCGATTCCCTCTATTGTCTGGCCGGACGGATGAGTCATGGCCTTGTAAAAGATTATGTTTGTTTCTTTTAGTTGGCGAGAATGTGTCGCCGCAAACGCGACAAACATACACTAACTTTGACGGCGTTTTCTGCGAGCACGGCTGAGCCATTTTGTACCGCTACACGTGTTTCTAGTGGGACTATGTTTACAAGCACAAGAGTTCAGCGAGCCACCGAAGGACCGCCCTGCAGATTTATTATTGGTTCTGCAACATAGGGAGGTTTTTTTAAACTCTGAAATTGTATCCGCCCATCTAAACACAAAATCAGGGAGAAAGTCATCAGTCTTTAGTTAAGCAAAGCGTCTCAAGACTGACTTGTGAGTCTACCGACGCCCCAACCACCTTTTTTAAGACACAGACAAATGGGGTATTTACTGACATATTTTATGTTAAAGCACAGTGTGATAATCTCTTCTTTCGCTTGTGTTAACCACAGACCTTATTTCAGGCATCTGAACAAAAACCCATTCAAAAAGCCCCACTGACTTTGAGAAGAGGGAACTGCAAGTTCAAAAATGCTAAATTAATTCTGGATTTTAGGGCTCATTCTTATGCCACTCTACTTTATCTTTATCCAAACATGCTTGCCAAAGTTTGACTTGATTGAAAACTTGAGCTGTTGCACTAAAAAAAAAAAACACATTTGCTTTGTTAGTGCATTTTATCAAGCTGGACGAGAAGGGCAAAAACACTGATTCAAACAAGGGTGGTAACACAGCTAAATATTTTTTGTCAGTTGAACTACAGAAATGTTTTTCAGGGCAGCACAAGCACATGCCTTACCTCACGTAAACTCACACTTTCAATCTGATGTAAACATTAGAGCCTCACCGGGGACCTCAGCAGATGCATTTTGGATGCTTGAATAGAAACAGCTAAATTAAAAACAGATGTTTCGCAAACATATTACATCTCCCATTTCATCAATTACAGATACGTAGAACATTGTAGTACGTTCTGCACATCTGTTATTTTCAGCAAGGCATTTAAGTTTGTCCCTCTACAAGAATAAAGAAGTTAAATTAATACCTTGTGTACTGCTTTCTCAACAAACAGTATCAAAAAAGAGGTAAAGAAACTGATAAAACTTCTTATTGATGAGCAGAATTTAAACATTTCTCAGTGTCCATCACTGTGTATACAGTGACCAGCCATGCACATACAAGCAGTCACCTCCCTGTCACCCCTGTAGGAGCATATCTGCTCTCTAGATACTGTACACACACACTCACACACTCTTTCCCTCTCTATCTAATGCTGTAATGAGGTGCTAATGATTGGTTGAGGTATGGGAAGACTTAAAAGGGATTTGCAGTTGGCAGCTGTTCATCTCGCCATTCTTTCCATAAGTTGTCCTGTAGACACTGCTGATAGCATAATGGCTGTGTTGAATATATGGCGAGGAACACTGTGCTGAGTGATGGCATACTTTTCCTTGGTTAAGGTATGACTCACGTTGTACATTGTACTATTATATCTTCTGTCAGTAATGTGAATGAGTGTAAATAAATGTGTTGTAGACTCTAAGGAATTACTTCACTGATTTCATGAACTGACAAATATTACTGCAGCCTTTTGGTTGGCTCATAAACCCTGAACATGCCGTCACCTGATTTGTGCTCTTGTTTCCTGTTCCTCAGACCAAAGAGAGAGGATCCACCAGAGTGCACGCTCTCAACAACGTCAACAAAGTACTTCAAGTCCTGCATCAAAATAATGTGAGTATTTGTTGTTTTTTTGTTGCTATTGTTACATCGGCTGCTGTTTGGCGGATGCTTTTAGCCAAATCAGAGACATGTGGTTCTGAACCAGGTGCCTTTGAGTCTGCAGGGTTTCATTTTGGCCACACAGTACAGCACGGTACAGTTAGAAAAAGGGAACCACAGGAAACTGTAAACTTAGCTGCTCTTGTGTTTTGTTGCAGTTAAAACCCACAAAGTCTTTGGCTGTGGTACGTTTGGCATTGTCTCACACTAGCTGAATTTGTACTTATCTATTTGACTGTGTCATTTTTTCTACATTGAGTTCTGTCTATTTCTTTGTCTGGCTCCCTCACTCCTTCGCTGCCTCTTCCCTCCCTCCTTCTCTCTGTGTACAATAGTTGGTCTTAATGCCTTGACCTTAGCAGTGGGAGATAATGGGAAGGCCATGCTCATGGGAAGTAGCAGAGGCAGGAGTTTGCATGCAACCCCTGCTGCTTTCTCTCCTCTAAGAGCCAAAGACTGTCAGCTGGCAGTGAAGGCCAGAGTTCCCACGAGCCTTTTAAGTCTGCTAACTGGAGAAAATGAAATAAGGCTTTAGAAGTTTTTGAAAATAAATAGACATTATAAAGATACTCAATGTTTCTACTTTAAAGTAAAGACGCCACATTTATCATTGAAATGTGCTTCACTTTGATGTCTTGTACTAGCTGTGGAAAAAAAGTCTAAAGCTGCATCTGATGAACTGATGTTACAGTATCATTTATTCCATTTCTGTTGTCTAATGGCCAGAGGTTAAATGTGTGTCATGGAGTGTTGCTTGTCGCTTCAAACGCTTTTTAAAAACTCTTGGGAAAACCTGAGTTCACAGAAAAGTATGTCCTAGTTAGAACTTAGGGATAGAAGAGTACACACAGATGCAGAAGTGTGCTGAACTGTGTATGTGAGGTTCTCTGTGTGAGAGAGAAATAGAGACACAGAAAGAAAGACAGAGAAGGGATAGTGTGGCAGGATGGAGTTAATTGGGACTTGAGATGGGTCAGAGGTCAGCTGTGCCATAGACACAGAGGTCACTTTTTAGTTTGACCAGACACTTGACCTCATGTTCCACTCTGTGCCTTGATCTTCTCCAAAATATTTATATGTAATCAGTCTGCACTTGTCTGGCCTCACCTCGTATGATAAGTGTCTGACATGGCTGCAGACACACTTAAAAGGTAGCATTGGAAGGGTGTAGTTAGAGTGGTATAATTCACTGTGTGATGGTAATGCATGGTTCAGATGTTTTCAGCTGTAACAGTGTGGACACTCACAAAGAGTCAAAGCAATTTTATGTGCTCTTCCACAACACAAAGAAACTCAGATACTTCTATGTGTTACTTTTAAGGCAGAGTCTTGCAAGGGTCTGATTTTTAAGACCCACTCCTGAACCAAGACCGCACCCGCCCCAACACCCACTCATATGACCAATAAGTTCCACAATCCGACCCAACCCGTCGATACAAGATCTGCGGCCTGATCGAAAACCACAAATCCTATAATAACCGTGCACTGTTCACATAATTCAGTTAATTATTAAGGTTTAAAGTGATCATTTTGGGATATTTAATACATGGGAAACTAAGATAATGTATTTTTAAGTGAAGGTAATTTAGGACATACAAATTAAATGAATAGTTACGCTCATTCTCATACCACTGAGCAGCACATCTCCACAGTTAACGTGCTTATTAGTAATGTATCTGATTGAAGTGGCTCTCATACTCCAGCTACTCCAGCTGGTGCAGAAGACAGCGCTGATGCACAAAGTCAGCAGTCACACAATTAAAACATTAAAACACTGAATTAAATTAGTATTACTTTCATTTTATTTTAATATATTTATCATCTGGCACCCGTGATCCGATCTGCATGGTCCTTGTTTGACCCAGAACTGAACCCAGAAATAAAATTAAGACAAAATACCACCCTCGAATCGCATTTTTTGCGGGTCACTTGCTTGGGTACCCGACACGATTCAGGACTCTGCTTTAAGGGGTTTGTAAGTGCCTAATGTGCTTAATTTTGAAAGGATATTATGATTATAGCAAACAAAAGATTTTCACTTTTTTTTTTATGTTGTGTGCAACTGGGGTGGCTTCCCAACTAATCTGCTGAAAACAAGAATTGTTTCTACTTCCAACTTTGTACCATTACTTATTTAAGTGCAACCACCTAAATTATGAACTCCAATATGTTATTTCCATGGCCTGGTAAAGTTCAGTCAGTATTTGTGAACATGAGCTACTCTCTCTCAAAGCCAGAAATCAGATTAGTAAGTCTCAAACTTGCGATGTCATTAAGTATAAAGTCAGGAGCTGCTCCATCGACAAAGAGTTAGGAAAGGTGTTCTCGATGACAGTGAGAGCAGACAGGGCAATGTGTTAATTATATGGGTACATTTTCTGTTTCACAACTGAGAACACTACAGTAGAGGGTCCACAAAATCAGACTTCCATTCATTGTCTGTGGAGCAGCTCCAGACTTTATACTTGATGACATCACAAATTTACTTCTCTGGTTTCTGGTTTTGAGAGAGAGTTGTTCATGTTCCATATATTGATTGAACTTCAATATAACAGATTGGAACTGTTAATCTTCTCTTCATTGCTTTCAGGTTGATCTGGTAAACATAGGAGGGACAGATATTGTGGACGGGAACCACAAGCTGACTTTGGGCCTCATCTGGAGCATTATTCTTCACTGGCAGGTGAGCACACATATAGATGCACACATGCTGTTCCTTTCTTTCCAACCACATCCTGCACACACACACACACACACACACAAAGGCTCATTAATGTTTGCTCTGACTGTGAACTCACAGTTCACTGACGATCCAGTGTGTTAAAAAACAGATGATGGAAAATTTGTATCAGTGTGCACACATGCGTGTATGCATGTAACATGTTAATGATCCACTGCTTTGTGTAAGTTTGACCTGTTGAAATTAAGAATAGCAACTTAACAAAATAGTTAAGAGGTTTTACTTGCTGCTGATGCTTATGCCAAAACAGGATCATTAGAATGATTATCAGTTTTCATTTCAACAAAGACAGTACACATCCAGAATAAAGCAATTGGTATGAGACAAAAGAGAATAGAGAGGATGACATGAACTAAGATCCAAACACAAACAGGGGAAGAAGAATTAAAACGTCTCCTCAGGCAGGTCATTCCAAGGTCTAGGAGCTCTGAACAAATATTTGAATTCTTGCAAAGAAATTGAATCAAAATGTGCAAAATTGCATGTTGTTACTCTTGTTTTTTTTTTTTTTTTAACACCTGTATTAATGTGTAATTCTTCATGGTCATGTAGGTTAAAGACATCATGAAGGACATCATGTCCAACCTGCAGCAGACCAACAGTGAGAAAATCTTACTGAGCTGGGTACGCCAGTGCACCCGCTCACACCCAGAAGTCAATGTGCTGAACTTCACCACCAGCTGGGCCGACGGCCTGGCTCTCAACAGCATCCTACACCACTTCAGGTGAGGAGGAATCATAGATTCTGGGGCTGCTGGAGTGCAAAATGTGGTCATGGTAACAAACAAAAGTTTTGCACTGATCCGATGAAACCAGGGCGAAGATTTTCTTTACATTCATGTCTTTGTTTTCCACTACATTTAGTTTGAATAGACTTCTTGCATACCAAGTTTTGTGAGACTGCATTTTCCATATTCTCATATATTGTTGCTGTGGGATGAATATTTGGCTTAAAGTTGACATTGCATATTTGACATATGCCCATTGACTCAAGACTTCAAAATGTCTTCAAGGCCTAGAGTTTTGGAATGCCCGATATGTTGTGTGTGTGTGAGAGAGAGGGAGCAATTGTGAGGATACCCGGACTGTGTAAGTGGCGGGAGGTCAGGTTGTCAGGTCAGCGCCTGCCGGGTGTGTGTACACTGCTTGACTTGTTCTGTTTACGCCTGCCATGCTACTGTTTGCACACGCTCGGTGTGTGTGTGTATACGCTGTTGTGTGTGAAGAAAGAGAATGAGTGAAGCGTCAGGGGTGTTTTCCCCGCTTTCTGTAACCCCTTGTCCTTACCAGCGACATGCATGCACACACACACACACACTCAGACACAGGCCTGTGAGCTGTGAGAAAGGCCAGTGTTGTTTTAGACCTGGGCTGGGGTTTAGGTGGATCACTGAACACACACATTCCACACCCAACTGGCCTCAACACAAGTCCCCACTGCACCCCTAAGGGAAGAGTCTTTTCTGTGTGGAGGACACATGTATGTTTAAAATATTTGCCTCTTTTTTCCGCACAAGGAATATGGGAAAAGGTCATTTATGAATTTAAGAAATTAATATAGAAATTTCCACCCCCTTAATCTACAAAAAAAAACCAAACATGTTTTACGTGTATTGAACAATTCAGGTAAAGACTTAAATTTTTATCTGTGTTTCAGATTTACTTTCACTCCAACAGCGGCAGTACTTAAAGAAATGTGCATATTTATGTGGATATAATATGTGTTTTATGAACTATGTGAGACGAACCTTGATAATGGAAACCCTGGATGTCAGTGTCTTCATGTTGCAGCTCTCATTGCCACTGTTCTTTGTGTCTTCAGGCCAAATGCATTCAGCTGGGATCAGGTGGTCAGAATGAGCCCTGTCGAGCGACTGGACCATGCCTTCACTGTAGCCAAAGACCAGCTGGCTATTGAGAGGCTGCTGGATCCTGAAGGTACGGCCACAGGGAGCTGTTTTAAAGGAATACTTCACCACCAAATGATCATTTCTTGTAGCAATTACTCAACCTGTGTTATATTGAACTTGTGGAGAAAACTTTGTTTATGTGCATGCCTCCACAGTGAGCAAAGAATCAAAAAATGGAGGAAATTCTTGAGGAACTGAATTCATAGGGGTCTGTTATTGGGTGGGAAGTATTCCATTTAACACCTTCCCACTTTGTACACAGAGGTCAGCTGTATTGATTTGAGCAGGAATAACTGTAGAAAGTTTTTTTTATGGAAATGTAAGTATTAGTTACAAAAGAAAAGGCACCTATCGAATACCTTTTATAGTAGTCCCAGAGAATAGTTGGATATGGAATGAAGTTCCTTTTATTATCCAAAATTCCCACATATTAAAACATGGTTTGTGTTCATGAAGCCTGCCTTTATGCCCTGCCAGCAGTTGGATACACTCACGGTGGAGCAAATACTTTGGTGTTGTCTTTGGCTGAAGATTTGTAGGAAGCTGTGTTTGCTCCAAATGTTTTTTTCTCTCTCATGGAGCACCTGTAGATCCCCAGAGTGCATGTACTGGAGCCGTCTGTATTCAGACACTTCTTGTTAGGTCATGACCGAGAGGTAGTCTAGCCTGACCTGTGTCAAAGCCCGGTTTGATCAGCACAACTTGCCTTAACCTGCCCGCCCACCCCCAACACCTTCCTTCCCATCTCATCTCCTCCTGTCACCCTTAACTGCTATCACTCATCCACCATGCTCCTTTTTTCCCCGTGCAATTTTCACCTTACTACTCCACACTCTGTCCCTCCTGCTTCCAGTGCTTTTTTTCTATCTCTGATCTTTCTACCCTACATTAAACCTTCCCCCTTCCCCATCATGCCACCCTCTCTTTCTCAGATGTGGCGGTGCAGTTACCAGATAAGAAGTCCATCATCATGTACGTAACGTCGCTCTTCGCCGTGCTGCCCAAAGACGTGAGCATGGAAGCTATCAGAGAAGTGGAAACCCTGCCGCGCAAATACAAAGTGGAGTCTGAGGACTCAGGTCCAGGCCTCAGTGCTCAGGTAAAAAACAAACAAACAAACAAACACAACACAGCAGGTTACAGTTTTTACTTCATGTGATATGATACAGGAGGACAGAGACAGCACAGGCTTTTCTGAGTTATGATTTTGGTGCAAAGTGGGAAGGTTTTATGGCTTTAAACCAAAGAGAGTACTGTTCTAACAGCTTTGTAAACTGCTCACACAAAAAGGTGCTCACCTGTGTCCATGGCTGCATCTGTTTTTTAGGGTGCCCCTTTATGTGCAAACTTTGAAAATCCACAGCTGGTAACCAGCAATGTAGACAAAAGCTCAGTGAGTCCAAACTTCAGGAATTTCTAACTGGAACCAAAAGGTCTGTCTCTTAAAGGAGATCTATCATGCTTTTCCTTATTTTCTGGTGTATATGGCCAAAGTTTCAAATAATAAGGTAAACATGTCTAAAAGTAATCAAAAACCTAAGGCCTCAGGCCATTCTGAATGCTCTGTTTCTAGTGTTGTTTTCTAATTTTGGAACAAGCTGACATCAGCTTGCGATTTAATTTTTTTGCTCCAGGCATGCTACTGCAAATGTTTATATTACATAGTCGACACTGCTACATGAAGCTATATGCTAATGTCAGGGAAACTTGTAAACTTGGTTGCCTTGGTTCCCAGTTTCGGATCATATTCCTGCTAGAACGTCTTGTCCTGGAGATTTTGGCTTAGAAGCTTTCATTGGTGATTTTTCATGGTAGAAAGTGCTGCTATACTTAGTTACAGTCATTCCCTGGCTGCAATGACGAAGCAGAGATACTGAAGACCTGGAAGCCTTACCAATCAGAGCAGACTAGGCTTTTCAGGGAGGGGGTCTTAAAGACACAGGCTCTGAAACTGTGTGTGCCGGTGTAAACAAACCGTTATCTCTTACTGTGAACAGAGATGATCGTTCAGCTCCTGAACGTCAGCTTCAACAACTGAAAAGCTGAAGCTGCGAAAAAGAATTTGAACCCACCACTGCTTCAACCTTTACTGCTGTGTTATGTTTCTGATAACATTCAGTTAGAAGGCCACAGACACTGTTATGTGCAAGCATAAGGAATACTGTGAAGTGTCTCATTGTGTGTTTCCAGATAGAATGAGTCACTCCCACACTGAAAAAGCCATCTCCTTCATTCTCTCCAGCCCTGCTCATGAAAAGCACAGCAGGCGCAGGCAAATAGGGAGCAGAGCCATGACTCACCCCTCTGACATTAGCCAACAGACCGAACTGCATGCTGCTGGAAACACAGAGCTGTAAAGGGGTGGAAGGAAATGAGGGAATAAATTGGTGAGAATAGGAGTGTGTGCAGAGAGCTGACAGGGAAGGTTATTTAAGCATTAAAAATGCTGGTGGGCGGGTGACTGACATGCACATGCTGACACTGTTCCTTGTTTAACATCTGTGAGTATTTCAGTCTGTCTTGTCTTGATTCAATTGGACTAGTGATTGTGATCCTGGTTGTACTCTTAATTCCTTTATAACTGCAACAGACCAAGCTGCATCCCCTCCAAAAAATGTAATTTCTTTCATTCACATACATCCCTGGGGCGGCTTGATTCAGAGGTTTGTAGTCAGAAGTCAGAAAATCCCGAAACCACCTCTTAAGTTTTTATTGCCCATGGGCACATACTTCACACGTCCTGGAACGAGAGCTGGAAAAGTCTTTTTAAATAGTGTCCTGATTGGTCCAACAAGGGGTTTACTTTCCTGGCACAGTTCCTTCCTCCATAGGAAGTGATGCGTAATGCTGCTGGTTGTGAGACTGAGTGGAGGAAAAAGAAAGGCTCTTTGTTTCTGATGACTGTGTTTGGTCCTTCCCTTAATTTTAGTTTCATGATATTGTTGTAGAATTCTTAATGTTGATGTTAGTGTAAGATTGGTTTTAATATCGATATCAACATTGGTTAAGGATCTAATTAAATTTTATTGCATCACCGTCAAAGTTGGAATATCACTGATGCTGAGTGCGCTGATGTATGCATAATAATGCATTACATGCTCCAGAATCACAACTGCAGAAGTGATGAACGCAGGGATCGCGTTGAGCAAATCATCTGGTGATAATAAAGAGTTCTGTTGAGCCAGACCACAGCTATTTTACAGCCATTCGAGTCAATAAATAGACCAAGGCTGCAGTTTTCTCTCCCCCTCTCCCTTGTCTTTCTTTTCCTCATTGTTGCTTTGTCCTTGCCAGCCTACACTAGTCTAACATAAGGGCTTACAGTGTTTTTATTACCCCAAAATATCCAAAAGGTCATTGAATATTTTCAGCAGGTGACCTTTTCCTGAGTTCGCTACACAGACATTACCGCTGTGTAATTTCAGCCTGGAAAACAAAGGTCCATTTGACTTGTTACTGTACCAGTCTTGACACACCCATTAGCATTTCTGTCATCTTCGACTTGGCACGGCTGCTGCTGTAAAGATTTTATCTCCTGTTCATTTCAGCTCCAGACAGATTTGTTGAGCTCTGTTGAACTTTTTCCTATGTTCCCTCAGAAAAATGGAAACCTGGAATAGTTTGTAATTTCAGTTGTCTACAAATGTTTGCATAGTGTGAAACAGCTCTGTATTTAATGGAATTCAGAAGTGGGATCGTGCTGAAAATATAAATGAATTAGTTCTGTTATGATGTTAGACTAAGGAATGTAGCCAGGGAAGTTGCTGTTGAAGGACACTGTGCTGACAAGACTCCTGTCATTACATAACAAAGTTATCTCTCCACTTAGGTCTAAAGTTTTGTTTAACACACGTGTCACATTAAAACATCTGTCCTACTTCTGCTGTGAAGCTTCACCATCCATCTCTCTGACTGCACACCCAACTTTACCCAGGATGCCCCTGTGTTTCAAACCTACTGCTATTCCTAGAATGAGGAATGACCTGCCCAGCGTGTCAGGGGCACCTCCCAGGATCCTATAATAGGCTCGCAGTTGTTTCTGTTTTTTTCCCTCAACTGAGCAGGGCAGGTCGCTCTGCGTGCTCCAGAGCTGCACAGGCCCCTCCTAGATGTCTGGCTCTATTTTAAAACTCACTAACTGATGTGCACAGATGAAAATCAGTCTGAAGGACAAATGAAGCTTTTGTGCATGGCTGTGCTTCATAGACATCATTGTCCTGAGAGCATTTTGTGTTTATGTGACATATCAGGGATGCAAAAACTCACATTCCTCCTGTTCAATGCTATCAATGCTATTTTTGCCCTTGTTCTGAAAAAGACAATATTTCTACTAAGCAGTTTACATGGCTAATGAAAATGAATATTCCACTTACTCTCTCGTTCACAAGCAGCTGTGCATACCCTAGTTAATGTGCCCTAAGGTGTCGTTTATCACATCAAAATGTGGAAAAGTGGAACGACTGGACCTGCTTGTGCTGTTTTGCTTCTTTGCATCAGAACAGGATTTTTTCAACTTGTTCGATTGTTGCAACACACCTCCCCCTTTTATTCTTTCAGCCACCTTCTTGTAAAGGTTGACATTGCGATATTTGCGCATATCCAAAAACCTGTTGACATCTAAGTCTGTCATAATGTTTTAAAGACCGTGTTTTTCTCCTTCCGACCAGAAATGTGGGATTTTCTTTTGGGCGTGCATCTACAAGCTTGCAAACTATTGGCGAAATGGTCTGTGCACAATGTCTCCATGACAACACACAGAGCCGACCATAAATAGGCAAGAGGCTGTGTGTCGCAAATAGCAATTAAAAACCCCATTGGAGACGAAAATACCAGTGGCCATATGATACAATATCATCATGAGTCTCTATACAATATATTGCAATTTTAAACATTTTACTGTATGCTGAGAATTGCGGTAACATGTGTTGTGATTTATTACCTGTTTTCGACTGCACATTATGTCCCAAAAGGAAAACTTTGTCAACTTCTGGTCAACATGGTCAACCACTGCCTTCATCTCTTGCCTCATGTTTTCCAGAATGTTCAGATGGAGGAAGCAGGCAGCAGCCCCCGACCCGAGACCCCCAGCACCCTAACAGAGACAGAAGGGGAGATGGACAGCCTCCTGGATGTAGACCTGGACAGCTACCAGACCACGCTAGAGGAGGTACTGACCTGGCTGCTGTCAGCAGAGGATGCCCTGCAGATTCAGGAGGAGGTGTCGGACGATGTGGAAGAAGTCAAAGAGCAGTTTCACACGCATGAGGTAGGATGAGACCTGCAGGCTTATGTAAGGCTTGCAGAAATGTAAACATGCATGTACATGTAGACAGAGGTGCAAACAGCAGTGTTACTTATCAAATTGTGTGAATGTATCTGAGATTGCTATCATTATAAAAAAGTGATAAATTGATAAATTGTGTGGTGCTTCTCAATGGTTAGTAGATGACAAGTTCCTAACTGTCTAAATCTAAAAAACCTAGATGCTCATAGCCTTTTAAGAAATGGACATGTACAGTATTTTATAAACAAAGGATGACACTTATTTGTGCACCAGTTTTTTGTCTATGACCTGTCACTCTCCATTGTTGAGACAGAAGATAGTGGCCAAGAAATTGAAGCTTCCCACAAACAATAGTACATGCTCCGTACATGTTGGGAATGCCAGGAATTCTGCTGAGAACAGTGGCGCACAGCACCCCATGGTGCCCTGGCGCACAACTCGCTTGCTTGCTTGAGAAGGCGTAGCTGCAGGGTTTGTGTCTGTGCATGTGTGTAAAGGGGCTTTGGCTGGATTCCCTTGGCTGAAATGTGAATATTTGTGAAGTCTAATGTCTGGAATCCAGGTCAAAGCAGAAAGCTGGTAGTGCGACTGAGAGCAGTGAGACCCAAAGCCTCTTTAACAGCCAGGCTTTTCAGGAGGTCTGAAAAAATCAATCCAGTTTGTTTCGGCCTTGTTGTTCACATACTTACTCCAACTTCTCCTGCAAAGCCTAATCAAAAACAATGTGCTCAGAGGTGCAGTCAAAAATGCTTACTCATCCAGAGAGCTCACGAAAAAACAGACAATAACTCAATTCACTGGGCTTCATATTGCTCACAAGTGAAAAGAAGCTTCTCTGAGGAGTTAAGAAGCAGCCAAACTGAAGACTGAAGTTGCTCTTGTATTTTTTCTTGAAGCGTTTTCTCCTTCCTCTTTTGTTTTGCAATTGGCCTCAGTTGGCTGCCTGACAGAGTCCGCTCTTCATTTTGTGCTCGCAGGCTTGTCTGAGTGTTGCTACAGCAACGCTCGCAAATGCAAGGGTGCGGAGGTGATGCCCAGTGCTTCTGCAGGGCATTATTAAGTGTTATATCAAGTGAAGCAAGAGGATGGGGAGAGAAGCATCTAGACTTTAGTATGCCGATGCCAAGTGCCAGCATGCAGCCTCAGATTATATAAGCAATGTTAGGTCTCCATGTTAGACTGAATCGGGATAATTTTCAGGGCACATGGTTCTACACTGTCTCTTATACCTTAATGTAGTGTACATATAGATAGTGGGTCCCAGGGCTGTTTTGTTTCCAGCAAACAATTTGTCTGGAAGACCAGCGTTTTAAATTGAAGCTGTATCTCTTTTCCCCAAAAGGCCTTCATGATGGAGCTGACAGCGCACCAAAGCAGTGTGGGTAATGTGCTCCAGGCGGGAAACCAACTGATTGCTCAGGGCAATCTGACAGATGAGGAAGAAGAGGAAATCAGGGAGCAGATGAGCCTTCTCAACTCCCGCTGGGAGAACCTCCGAGTGGCCAGCATGGATCGTCAGGCCAGGTACACACACACACACACACACACACACACACACACATACACATAGACTTGCTTTAGTCCTGTAGAAGTATTGCAGTACTTCTTGCTATTGATAATTTGCAGATACCACATGATTTTATTTTATTTGTGTTTGAAACAAGTGAGATAATTCCATTGTGATGTCATTAAAAAAACTAAAATAGAAAAATAAGACTTAGAACTCAAAAATCTGTCCTTTTGTAGTAGTGCAGTGCCGTCACATCATGAGGCACAAATTGCCCAGTGGAGGTCATTTTTCTCTCAGATCTCTCAGATGTTAATGAGTTTTTCCTGTGAACAACGCGCTTGCAAGGCTGCAAACTGTGTGAAGGTGACACCGGATATGCCTCGAGGCCCCCAAGGCCTAACAAGTCTAACGCTCAATCTGTGTTATCAAGGTTTATGATGCTTCAATCACACACACACACACGCACACACACACACACACACACACACACACACACACACACAACAACACAGTTGTTCATAAATTGTATTCATGGTGTCCAGTAGAGCATTTGTTGACCCTGATTATATGTGCTCTTGCGTGCCATGACTCATTGTCCGTGGAGTCTGTATACAGCATTGTCTCTTATTTTGGTGTCTGTGTTACTGTGAGGCAGTTAAATAACCAGCTGAACAGGAAGTTTCACCTTAAAATGATTACACTGGTAACCTTCATGTCCTTTCTTCCAATACACACCCAACTCCCTGTCTCTCTGACTTTCTCCCTTTCCAGACTCCATGAAGTCCTGATGGATCTCCAGCAGCAGCAGTTACAGCAGCTCTCTGACTGGCTGACACTGACGGAGGAGCGAATCAGAAAGATAGAGACAGAACCGGCAGCTAAAGACCTGGAGCTCTACAAAGAACAGATAGAGCAGCACAAAGTAAACATTCACATTCAAACATTTTCTGCCAAATTGCTTCTCTTGCATGAATCTTGTCAATGACGGACGATTAATATATTTATCCTGGACAGGAAGTAGAATACAAAAAAAAACTGTCAGTCTTGCTGCACTTCACCTAAAACAGTCTTATGACCACTTTGTCACATGTCTGATTCTGAACTTTCATGACTCACTCACTGTCTCCATGTTGTCACCATAAAGTTAAGTGGCTTCTCTGCCAGCTCTGTTAATGGATAATGTGTGACCGTGCTGAATTCACTGTTTGCGTTCCGTTCAGGAGCTTCAGAACGACTTGGAGGCGGAGCAGGTGAAGGTCAACTCTCTAACACACATGGTGGTTGTGGTAGATGAGAACAGCGGTGAGAGCGCCACTGCTGCACTGGAGGAGCAACTACAAGTGAGTTGTTAGCCTAACAGTCTATGTGCATGTGTCAGAGAACAACCATGTTTGTAATTGATGATTGTCTTCATCCTGCATTTAAGTCTCTGGGAGAGCGCTGGGCGGCTGTCTGTCGCTGGACAGAGGAGCGGTGGCACAAGCTGCAGGAAGTCTTCATGGTGTGGCAGCAGCTTACATCAGACCAGGTAGGACATGTGATGGTTAAATAATCAAGCATGCTCACATTGAGATTTATTGAGGTGCAGAGAAAAGCCCACAGTGTCATTTAAATCCACTGTTAAAGCCACTTGAAAGACACTGTTCAGTTCTACATTTCATGAGTTAACTGAAGTTCATTCAGCCCACAGTAAATCTGCCAATGTTTCAGATCCACTATTTTTACTTTAACATGAAGTGTCACATCAAAACTTTATTTTCCTTATCCTGCCATTCCTATTTAACCCTGAACACATTGTGGTTTGAGCAAGAAATGTATCTGGTTTTGAATTTAGATGTTGACCTGATTGCTGAGTTCAGATTTCAAGCCTTTTTATACACGTTACCCAGGCTCCTGGACACCAAGTCTCTGTTTGTACTAAGTAGTTTAAGTTCATGCTGTTTTCCCACCTCCTCTGTAGAGTTTGTTTGGAGCTTGGTTGGCAGAAAAAGAAGAGGCCTTGAGTGAAGTACAGACCAGCAACTTTAAGGACCCGAGTGAAATGAATACCAATGTGCGCCGATTAGCAGTAAGTCGTCTGGCAAGTATTTGTGGTTGCCATGCTGCTGCTGCAACTACAAAACAACTAACTACCATTAATTTGTGAACTTCAATACAGTAATAAGTTTTCTGTTTTTAGTGTAGGCTTTGATATGTTTTTGTGATTCAATCCTGTAGATTTTAAAGGAAGACATGGAAAAGAAGAGGAGGACTCTTGACCAGCTGTCCGATGCAGGACGGGATGTAATATTGCTACTACGGAGCCCTGAGGCCGGAGCCAAGATTGAGACAGACACAGAGGAGCTTGCACATAGATGGGACAACCTGGTGCAGAAGCTGGAGGACTGCTCCTTTCAGGTGTGTGTGTGTGTTTGTGTGTAGGTGTGTCTTTTCTTCCTTTAAGTGCATGTAACTTTATTCAGAAGAGGTTTTGTCTTTGTGCTTAAAAACTGTCACAATAAGTAGCACACCTGTGCTCATAGAGATGCATGAATCTTAACTGTGGCAACTCAATGCACAAAGCACATGGCTGCTTATTCAGAAAAATCCAGCAGGTTACATCAGAATATCGATTGATTTAAACATGCAGCAGTCAGTCTTTGGGTAGTATTGCATAACCAGACCTATCCAGCCTAAGGTCTGACTGAACATCAGAATTCCACATGAGGGGGAAAAAAAGTGCCCTGGGTTGTTTGTATTTCTTTAAACCAGTCACAGCCATGTTGGGCGGCGCCAAGCCCAGGATGCAGGGATCGTGACCTTGCAAAATAGTGTCAGAAGGGAACTTGTTTTGGTGTAGAGGCGAGCGCTGGCACAAAATGTCTAATTTCCTTTAAAAGAAAACGCCACATGAAACATTTAAAGATGTTCTAGCGTGTAGGTTGCTAGTTTGGAGGTTGTTGTTGTTGTTGTTGCCGTCACGCACAGTGCTAAATTGTGGAGATAGGTCTGGCTATGCAAGGTCTGGCTATTTTGAAAACATCACACAGGAAGAGGGTTATAGTCCGAGATAGGCAGCCAATGACGGCTTCATACCCACAGTCTACATCCTGTGAGCCAGACTAGTTTTGTGAAAGCTAGATCACCTTGGAAGAAGATGAAGTACAACAAAGCTTTCCTTGAAAAATGTATTTTTGTTTACTATAGTGATGAATATAGCTCAACCTGCTTTGTAACGAAAGACTGTTGCACTGGTTCGACAGTGTAAATGTGTTGTTGTGTGGAGCGCCGGTGGCTTAGTGGTAGAGCAGGCGCCCCATGTACTGTTGCCGCAGCGGCCGGGTTTGACTCCAGCCTGTGGCCCTTTGCTGCATGTCACTCCCTCTCTCTCTCCCCCCTTCTGTCCTATACATTAAAGGCTAAAAAGCCCCAAAAAATATCTTTAAATGTGTTGCTGTGGTGTTTGCAGTGGTCCTTAGAACAAAGGCAAAAAGGGGAAGTCAGGCAGGGGGAGATTATTGTAGGTTCAATGAGGATACGGGGAAATGATAACATACAAATCATCCTGCTTTTCTTTTATATTCAAAAGTGTCAGTTAAAGTTCAGTGGTGTGAATAATAAATCACCAAAGCCGCCATGGTTTTTTGATGTAAAGTAAGCCAGTAGATGAAAATGTTCTGGTCAGAACTTGTTTGGTTGTGTGTGGCTGATTTCTGTCCCAATCTCATTGATGCTCTAACTCATTGCTAAGGTAATGGAAGCAGTGACCGACGCCGGGATGACTCAGGTGGAAGAGCAGGTCGTCGTGGATACAGTTGCTGTGGCTGCGGCTGCTTCGCTGGCTGACCAGGAGCTGGCCCCACCTGCTCCCCCTAAGAAACGACTGGTGGAGACAGACGCAGAAGTCAGACGATTGTAAGAATTGAGACGCACATGAGCAGACTACACCTCCTTTGCCAAAGAAGTGTAAGAATAAAAGACCCACAGAAATACTCTAATGCACACATTGTGTTCTGCAGGTTTGAAAATAAGCTTTCAGACCTCCTGAGCTGGGTTAAAAAATGGACGTCGTCTGCTCAGGCGCTCGCCTCCACACACCCTGACACTACACCTGGCACTTCAGACCTGCAGGAGAAACTCAAGGTGAGCCTGCAGATGATGTGGTTAAAAAACAAACACTTAAATTAACAATTAAATTAAATCACAACTTAAATATGTGTTGACAAATCACTGTAGGGTTTGGAGTTGGACCTCAAAACAAAGGAAGCCACCGTTGGTCAAGTGATCCAGGAGGGACACGTCTTGATGGACCAGCTGGAGAGAGGTATGAGGGAAAGAGGAGATTGTCCTTGCTCACTGACATTGAAATACGACGTTATTATACACAATAAACCGAGCAATTATTTTACTCAAATCCATCCAAGTTTTGTCAAACATGTCCTTGTAAAGTGTTGGAAGATACTGGCTCATATTTATCGTTTCTCAGAGGCTCACAACTACTGGCTTTAACAGAAAATCTTCCATTTCCCTGTTAAATTGTGTTCGTCTCATAAGATTTTACTACTTTTCCACAGCTGCTTGGTATTTTCTGGGTATTTACAAGCCCAAATTTTTATATTGTTTTAGATGCTGGTAATCTGAACGTGTGTGTGTGTGTGTGTGTGTGTGTGTGTGTGTGTGTGTTTGTTTGTGGATTGAGTAGTAAAAATCTGTCAGCCTGCAGGGTTGCTGACTTCATATAACTGCTCAGTGAAATGAAGAGGCACTCAGGATTTTTATGTGTTTACACTGTTCTGGAGGCAGTGAGGGGTAGTGGAGCAGCACCGCTAAGTTGGAGGAGATTTGTTAAACACCAAACTTTCCACTAAACTCAACTTATTTTATTCCTTGATATCTGCTGTTCACTCATCCATAGTGTCTTTTTTCCAATTTTTCATCCACTAGTGTTTTTACTCTCACTAGGGTCTCTCACTCACAGTCAAAACCCACAACACAGGCTGACACATTCAGAATAAATGATGTTAGCATCCATTCAAAGTCTACTTAATTATTGTTAAGTGCATTTGAAGTGACTCTTTTTATCTGTTGGCTTCTGTCTGTCTCTGTAGAGGGAGTGTGTGTGGACTCAGTGAGGGCAGACATAGACCTGATCCAAACAGAGTGGGATGTGTGTGCGAGGGAGCTAAAGGCAGCACGTGAGCGAGTTCACACTCAAAGCCGGGTGACAGCGGTGTCTGCAGAGCTGGCAGACCTGGACCGAGCCTTTGAGGAGCAGGACCGGTGGCTAGACTCGAACCCGGCTGTGGAAAAGTGCAACGAGGCCGAGCTCAGAGGCCTGAGTGGAGAATGTCAGGTAAGAGTCATTGTCTCCGTCCACATTCACCCTGATCTCCTTTGTGTGACTTTAATCCCAAATTTCACCCCTGACCCTTTCGTCAATCCTCTTACATTCAGCTGCAGCAATTTCATAAACATTTTAGTTATTACCGCAGAGATGAAACACTTAGAAAGACAGGTCATGGATCAAAACAACCATTAGGCCAAAAAAGAGATGTATTAAAGTTACAGAGTGCCTCAAATGCTTGCAAAGTCAGTGGAAGGGGTACAGAGTAAGATGCATAGAGCCCTTCCTGATGTGTCCTGAGGTGTGGAGTTAAGATTTTTCAATTGAGACTAATTTACACTGAGCAGTGAGGGAAAACCCTGTCAGTGTAAAGCATGACTCCGTCCAGTAATCTGTGAATTTCTCTCCAGACTAATGGATTTTTGCAGTGTGTGTTGCAGGTTTCCCTCATTTTTGTGCAGAGAATAAGTTTGTCACATTGCTGAAACTGTTACTACATACATACAATAGTACTTAAGACAAATAATCTGCAAAAAAAAAAAAAAAAAAATCTGCAAAAAAAAAAAAAAAAATCATGTTTCTCTGCCTACTCAAAGTGCTTCTGATGGCATTAGTCAGACTGTCAAACAAAGCAACGCTGATCAAATATGAATCAAGATTCTGTAACTGCATTGCCTTTTTCTCACCTCAGGTGTTTTCATATGTAGTGTACTGTTTTGCTGTTAAATGAGAAAGTTTGCTCTGGCCAGTGGGTGGTGCTTGGTTTTGGCTAGACTGTTTTCAATATACTGGGCAGACCACAAACTTTCTCACTGAGCAGTGATTAAAATGATTTACAACTACGTTAGAGACTTCTCAGCTCTGATTGGCTGGTTTCCATGAGCTGCAGTGGATTATAGCAAATTCTGTTAGAAGCCTAATGAGGAGGAGGAGCATGATTTTTCATTCAGTGTCTATCTGCATCATGTTCTACTGTGTGGATGTAGTTACAGTTTTAGTAAATACGACGAAAAGTTATTTTCATAAACGTTACCAACTGTAGCTTTAAGGTGATCTTGATTATGCTCAGTGGCACAAAATAGATCAAATAAAGGCAAAATGATTTGCTGAAACATTTGCTTTCCATCATGTCTCATCATTCTGCATCATTATTAAACAGCAGTCAATGTAATGTTTAAGTAAACCACTAACCACAGGTTTGTTTTAAAGTCAAGGAAATGCTCTTATCTTGAGCCAAGTTTATAACATTTCCCTTTCTGTGTGGGTGGACAGAGACTCCAACAATGTTCCCTGCTGAGACATCCTTTGACGATTCTCCACTTACAAATTAGTTTGTCTTCCTCTTGTGTTCTTCAGTCCCGACTTGTCCAGGTCAGTGCTTCGAGTCCGCGACTGGAGCAGCTTTCTGCAGATGTGGGGTCACTAGGAGCCGTGCCTTCTTTGAAAGACAACATGGTGGTTGTGTCGGCACATCACGCCTCCACACTACAGCGACTACAGGGCAGAGAGCAAGAGGTCAACAAAGGTACTTTTGCTGATCAAAATGATTTGTTAAATCAGTACAGAGGAAAAATGTTACAAAACTCTGTGCAGGTTCCTCTGTATTAACAGTACCATATGCTTTTCAAGGGACCTGACAGCCTTGAGGCATCCTCCTATTTCACAGAGCTGCAGTGCAGGAGATTTAAGCCTTCCTTAAAACAAAGACCCATTTCTTCCTCCGTGCTCTTGGCTCAAAGCTTTCAGGTTTATAGGGAGACTGAAAGAGTGATAGCTAAGATCAGCAGAGCTCAGTCCCACAGGGGTTGTGTAAATTTGACATCAGCTTTTTATATGAATCCTTGGCCAGCCACAAGTAATGGATGATGCCCTTATATGGCCTCCAAAAGCTCACAGACGCGTGAATGTGTACGTGAGCGATTGAGCGTGAGATCATCCCTCTGTGCGAGCTCCATCTCTACCTGAAGACGTGACTTGGACCTGGAGCAGTCCTGAAAGTCAGTTACCGTTTTACCTCTGGAATTTACATGCACTCCTATTGGCCAAAAATGAGTCTGTAAAGGGAGACTTGACTTGCCTGTGCTCCTGACCAAAGGTAGGTGTGGGTGTGTGTGTGTGTGTGTGTGTGTGTGTGTGTGTGTGCGCGCACGCGCGCCTCTTGGGCTTTTATGACTGTGAGGATTTGGATGAAAGCCAAGGAAAATTTTGTTTCTGCTTGAGGGCAGGTTGCCTCTCGCCGGGGCCTCTCTCTGCCCCCCCCCCCTCCAGTTACACTCCATCTCTGTATGTGTATATAAACATAGCTGGATTATGTAAGCATTAAATCACCTGGTGATTAAAACGCTGGCAGAGAGGGAGAGGAGAAGAAAGACAGTCAAGGGGAAGAACAGGAATAGGAAGAAATATAGCAATTCAATATAAATGAGTCACAAGTGAGCACTACTTAACTTTTGTTATTAATGTAATCACCTTCACTGGAGGGTCAGACAGCAGATTAGCCATGGTTTTATAGTGTATGTTTAAAATTCGTCAGGCATGATTGACATGTATGAGTTGGTTAGAAGAGTACAACTAAACTTACTTTTAGAAACAGACTGCCAAACATCTGTAGTCCTTTTGCAGCATGTAAAACACTCACATACACTGAAGGGACATCCCTAAACTGCTCGCTGCCCCCCTGTGGTTAAAATGTGATGGAAAAGTTTTGATACCTGAAGTTAATATGTTGTGTTTTCTCTCCCTCTCTCCACACATCTCCCTCTCCTCCTTGTCTTATTCCAGCTTTGGCCAGTCTTGAGGCCAGCCAGATGGTGTCAAACCAGGTGGAGGGTCTAGAGGCTAGACTGGCCACTCTGAGACAAAGAATAGTGGACATCCCTACTGCTGAGGGGGCGGTTGAGCGGGCACAGGTGCGTAGTGCATCATCTTGATAAATTAAGTCAGGGCTCTCTGTAAAAACCATGGTCAACAAACTACATTTAAATCAAGTACACATATTCTGATAATAGTCAGATAATCAGGAACCAAAAACATTAATTCCTAGGTGGAGCTTACAACACAAAGTATGAACACAGTCTCTTTATTTATTGACAGATAGTATTAGAATATCATTATGTATTTATTGTTTTAGATTGTGCCTCTTCGTCTCTTGGATACAATCTTTTCTATTATTAGTCAAATATTTTTATTCCACTGTTTGTCTATAAATTGGCACAAACAAACAAATTTCCCAGATTCACCTCCTCTGTTTTTCTTATTTGTAATTATATTTATGATTTTATAATACAAACTGATAATTAACCCTGATTTAGTGACATATTTGGTGTTATGTTGTAAATTTGCAACTCAATGACTACGACATGCACAATATAATCAGTTTTTTCCCCTAATTACAACTAAGCTGTTTACATGGCTAATATTCCCGTTTACATGCAGATGTGCGTACTTTGATTAATGTCCCCTAACATGTTGTTTATCATGTCAAAAGACTAAAAAATGAAACGGCTGGAGCAGCTTCTGCCATTTTGGTTCTTTGTGTCGAAATAGAATTTTTAAAAATTGGCGGTGCATTATTTGCTCATGTCCAAAAACCTGTTCATATCAAAGTCTTTTATAATGTTATTTTAAAGTAGATGTGATTCTCCTTCTGATCAGAAATTTTGACTTTTCTTTTGGGCATAAATGTATGCCCAAAAGAAAAGTCAACTGCTGTGCAAACTGTTGGCATGTGTACAATGACAACGCACAGAGCTGACCATTAACAGGCAAGATGCGGTGTGTTGCAAACTGTGGTGAAACCCCAACTGAGACATATATTCTGAATGTGCTGTATACACATCCAAAAATACGTCTAAAACCCAGATAATGTGGACATATCCCACATGTCTAGTTCTGAATCTCCATGAATTTACATGAATGGTATCAAATATGGAATATTGTCATATTCTGAATAATACTGGAATATTAGTGCCAAGGCCGCCCCTGCAAGATCTGAATTCGAACAAGACACATCCTAGTTTAAGGTGCGCTAGGGAGGAATTGTTATGGTTATGATATGTAAACAGTATCACCCGCAGAAGTGAAAGCCAATCCCAGATTTACTCTCATTGTTATATTTGCATCTTTTTCTGCACTGTGTCCATGATTTTTGTAGCTTCCTCTTGGATACATGATGCTTACATTGTGACACCTGGTCACTACCTTTTTAATATTATCTTGACCTCATCTGAGTGCTTTGACCAGGAACATTTCAAACATACAAAAATAAAAAAAGAAAATGAGAAGACACAGGCTTAGGGCAGGGTCACTGCAGATAAATTACATACACTCACATACTTCTAGTTGTTCATAAATGATGATTGAGAGGGATTACTTCTGTATGTGTCTATATCATTGTTTTGTTTTGTTTTGTTTGTTTTTAGAAAAATCCTGCATAGTATACCTTTATATAAAGATGAAAATAAATAACAAAATAAGGAGAAAATATAGACACAAGTGCATAAAAAAATATATAAATTGAACATTAGTTATCTTGAATTGTTGCTGTGGTTTATCTGGAGACTGCAGCTGATAAAACAAGTGCCCTCTGACCTCTAAGCTTAAAGGATTTCATTCTCAACAGTCACTTTGTTTATGTCTGTCTATGTGCTTGTACATATATCAGAGTGAGTGTTAATCTCTGTCTGCTGTCAGTTTTTCTTTCCACAACACAATAGGCCCCTTTATCAGCCAGTCACTTCCCTCTGCACTGTATCAAACCTCTGTGTAGGAGGAAGACTGTGTGTGTGTGTGTGTGTGTGTGTGTGTGTGTGTGTTTTGGTATGTAGCTTTGTGATGTATGCGTGATTGTGTGTTGCCGTGCGTCTTTCTCTCCTCCTCCATCCTCCCGTGGAATGTGGCTCAGTCCGAGCTCTTGTTATCGTGGCAGATAGGGCACGGTGCCGGGGAAGGGGCGGGGACTTGGCACATTCTGGGCAGCGTGCCCGTGCATGCAGCATGGAGTTCCTAACAGCTCAGTGTGGGGCCGCTCAACCTGTCAGTCAGCCTGACAGCCTCCACACACACAGTCCCATGACAACATCTCTGAGTCCCATTAGCAATTAGCCCAGTGATAGAAGGTGATAGTTGTCTGATTGGCTTAGTATTGTTTCCTTATGTTAAAATGGATTCATCTTGCATTGTAAACCCATGTGAATTACTTGATGTGATAAATTAATTATACAAATGAGGCAGCAGTTAAACAACTAGTGAATATTTCTCTCTGTTTGAGAAACTTTATGTGATTGAAAGGTTAAAACACATATAACACATTCTTGCATCTGGGCAAACACTTTGTATACATACTGCATGCTTTTTTTTTATAACATTCTTAAAGGTAAACTATGCAGGAATTAATGGCTACTGTTTGTAAACACAACATTTTAACCAGTAATTGTTACCAGTTTCCACCCAAAGTAGCATTCACATCAACATCCAAGCTGTAATTACAAGTGGGAATTTTTAAGATAGCTTCAATATATTTGTCTTGGCGTGTAATAACTCGGAAGTGCCTGAAAACCAAACAAACATGGATGCCTCATGTTTGCCGAAGTCCATCATTCAAGATAATTAATCCCAGATGAAATGGTAATAGTGTTATAATGTCAGCACACAGTAGCTTTAACCCTCACACCACAGCTCTGCAGTCAGTCTTGTCTCCTCTAGTGATTTAAACGCTTGGTCGTAAACATAGGAATCTTTTCTGTTGTAACCATCCGCATGGATACACACAATGTGTTTTGGTGAGGAAGACATACTTGTGTTTTTAATGGGTTCATAATACAAGGTCACTGCGGGGTACAATATGAAATGACTTTAGAAAACATGGGATAAGTTTGGAAAAAGTTGGCAAACTTTATGAAAACTTGTATGTGGAACAGACTTGACATCTACAGGTGTTTACAGAACTTCTTTCTTTAATAGTGAAGCCTCAGTTAATCAAGGAGATGAAGGACTTCTCTTCTTCTCACCAAGGGGATGACTCACTCTTACACATTGTTATTGTTAATTTTACTGCATGGTAAATTCCATATCAGACAATAACAGTTTCCATGGTCACCCAGTATTTACAAACACAGCTTGGATGTGTCATTTTGAGCCTGAACTTTTTTTCAACTCAGGGCCTGTGTCTGGAGATTGAACAAACACAGCAAGCCTCCGATCCAGCAGAACTACAAAGATGGAGTCAGCTCTCCTCCAGGGCCCGTGAGGAGCTGGGTACACTGCAGTGCATCCTGGGTAGCATGAAGGACTATCAGGTAGAGTAGCTGTAATTGGTAATATAGAAAACCTAGAAGAATAACGCATCTTTTTTTCTCTTCACTTCAATGTTTTTTATTCATTGGTTTGATGCTGTTGTTAGGTGCGTTTAGTGGAAGTGGATCGTTGGTTGGATGCGGTTCAGGAGCTGTTGTCTCGTGATGCTACAGGGTTGGGCGACAAAGAGGCTCTACAGGAAGAGCTTAACCAGTGCAAGGTGAGAGGACAATGCAAAACATAAACACTTTTTGACATTCTTATTGTAAAGATACCACGACTTTACAACTTAAAAGTTACATTTACTGCTGTTTATGTGAAGAATGCAGTCATTTTACAATTTCTTTCTCTTTTTTCTGCTAACAAGGAGTATGTGAATGAGATGGAGTCAGTGGAAGGTTCGTTGAAGCAGATGGGAGAGAATGTGAGCGCCATACAGACAGTTGCAGTCCCGGGACTAGCCAAATGGGGGCAGGATAAGTTGAACGAGTGCCGAAGCAAATGGGATGATCTCAGCAAACAGGTGAGGAAAAACTTTTCTCATTGTGTGCTGTTACGGCTTCTTATGTTGTGTGTCTGTATGCCTGTATTCATTCACATAATCACAGTGACATTTTAGTGTCACTTGCAAGCACTTTGAAACGTAATGTCATATGCTTCCCTCCAGCTGCTGAGACATCAGGACCGTGTGGCAGAGAGTCGGGAGAGGCAGGTGAATCTGAGGAAGGACTTGGCGGAAATGCAGGAGTGGATGACCCAGGTTGATGAGGAGTTTCTCATGAGGGACTTTGAGTACAAGAGTCCTGAGGAGCTTGAAGGGTCGCTGGAGGAAATGAAGGTGGGATTGGAGGCGTGCTTATAACCTAATAAGGACACTTAAAATGAAATGTTTGGGAACACTGGGGAAATCAACACAGTGATTGTGTCTGTGCTTTATTTGAGTGTGGGTCTAACTGTCTTCCTCTGTTACTTTTTGTCCTTGTCCTCTTACCTCTCTCACAGAGGGCTAAAGAGGATGTGCTCCAGAAGGAGGTGAAGGTGAAGATCCTGAAAGATAGCATTAACATGCTGGTGTCCAGAACATCACCCCCTGGTGGAGGAGGAGGCAGTGCACAGGAGCTGACCTCAGAGCTCGATGGGGTTCTTGCCAACTACCACAAGCTTTGTGACCGCTTCAAGAGCAAGTGTCACACTCTGGAGGTAATGTGTGTGGGTTGTTCGTAAATACAAATATTTGTTTTTGAACAAATTAATTCTACTAGTTTCATTTAAAAATGATAGGCACCTATGTTTTATTTTTGTAGAAATGTACTTCGTCAGCGTCATGGTTTATCATTTTAGACTAAGTCCAAAAGTCCAAATTACATATTTTTCCTCTTACCTGTAGTGCTATTTATCAGTCTCGACTGTTTTGGTGTGAGTTTCAGAGTGCTGGAAATATCAGCCGTATAGATGTCTGCCTTCTCTCCAATAGAATAAATCTAGATGTCACTCGGTTTTTGGTGCTCAAAGTGCCAAAAATATACATTTGAAAAACTCAACAGCAATGTCTCTTTCCAGAAATCAAGACCTGGTTACTCAAGATAATCCACAGACCTTAATGTAAGCAGTTTCATGTTGGAGATATTTTCGTTCTACTGAACTACATCTACCAACTGCATCACCGTAAAGTCACGCCGAGTGCCATCTAGTCTCATCATATTTGAGAGAAGGCAGACATCTCTATGGCTGATATCTGTGACACTCAGTAACTTACACCAACACAATGTAGACTAATAATTAGCTGTCTTTGTGTTTTTGATTTTGGGTGAACTTTACCTTTAAGTTGGCTTTGAGTTTAAGGTTTAAGTCTTCGTCGGTATAAAAAGCTCCTATGACACATACTCATAATAAAAACAACAAAACAAAACATAATTTTATGCATGAATGGTCCAATTTGTCCATCAACTCCCTAAGTTCAGACTTGGAATGACATGTTGGTTTATGCAATGTGTCATTTCTCAGGCTCACTTTTGTTAATTTTCATGCAAAGAACAAGAGAAGCTTGCAGGGCACTGGTGATTCTGGTTTCTGTGAGTGTAAAGTCATAGTTTGGGGCACTGCTTTGGATTATCCTCCCCCGGACTCTGCAGGGTAAAGGTCAGACACATCACTGAGTTGTGCTTATGTTCATGTATACTCTTATTTGCCTGAAGTCTGTTAGTCACCCTCCCCTCTTTAGCTTTAGGACTTTGCTGTTTAATTTGAGTATACTTTTTAAAAATGCCTCACAGTGAGTGTTTTTTTCATATTGTCCTTTTAAGATTGTAAATGAGGACATACATAATACAGCTGTCACTTTGTAGTAGCATAATTTATGTCTCTCTGGTTCTGCTAAACTTCTGACTGTGTGTGTGTGTGTGTGTGTGTGTGTATCATGTAGGAGGTTTGGTCCTGTTGGATGGAGTTGCTTCAGTATCTGGATATGGAGGAGAGTTGGCTCAACAGTCTTGGGGAGAAGGTCCAAGCTACTGAAAACTTACCAGAGAGCACTGAATCTGTCAATGAAGCTCTGGAGGTACAAATGCAAACACACACACATACTTCCTGTAATCACATTTAAAGGGAAAGTTTGGTATTTGTCAGTCTGGACCCTGGAAAGGATTTGTACAGAGAGATCATTTTGTTAGAGAGTAAGATTCTTTTTGTTTAATTAGAAACAGCCCCAAAATTTCTATGAACCAGAACTCCATTAAAATAAACAGTGATTTTATCATCATAAAACACACTTCACTCAAAGTTGACAGAAACAAAATAAAACTCACAAAACTCTTTTTTTTTTAAATCTTTCCACTGTTCCAGTAATCACCAACTCTGCTTTGGTTAAAATAAACCCTTAAGTCAACCAGTTAGATGTGAAGATATGCTGGCACTATACACACTAAATTTACTGTTTATTTACATGGAGTCTGTTTTGTTTGGTGATGGCAAATTCGGGGCTGTATCTGGTTAAACAAAAAGGATCTTACTCTTTAACAAAAACATCTATCTCTGTAGGGATCCTTTTCATAATGTTGTCAGATACTTATAATAATAATAATCTGAGCCTGTTAGTGGGAAAAAGAAGCACTCTCAGTGGACTTTTGTTGAGGGTGCGAACATGCCCCAATTGGTTATATTGCAACCCTCTTGCTTAATACTACACCAATTTTAAAAACTTGTTCCCAGTAGTCATGTTGACACAAAAACATGGGAAAATAGGGTCCAGGATGAAAAATAGTGACCTTACCTTTAATGCACCATCATCTTATACTTGTCCATCTTCTTCGCTTTATCTTCTGTTAAGTTCATCTTTTCAGAGGATTTATATTTCATATCATTTATTTATATGTACTTACCAACAGTCAAGATTATTATGATTGCCTTGTGAATCAAAATGTAACAAGACATCTTCTTGTAACACACAAACCAAATCGAAAAAATTAAAAAAGCATAATATATGAATTAATATCTTCATAATTTCAACATATGTTTTTGCAAAATTTCACATACTGTACATACAGAATTTTTTTTACTGTATCTAAACTACTAAATCACTTTTGGGAAACCAACAGAAAATGAATAAAAAGTCTGATCTAATCTTTGTTCTTACTTATTGGGGAAATGAGTAATCTCATTAATATATTAATTTTAAATTATGTAGTTAGACAGAACCACCCATCTTTAAATATATTTAAAACTGCATTCATTCATTCATTCATTCATTTTATGTAACTGCTTATCCTGTTGGGGGTTGCAGGGGGGCTGGAGCCTATCCCAGCTGACATTGGGCAGGAGGCAGGGTACACCCTGGACACGTCTCCAGACTGTCGCAGGGCTGACACATAGAGACAGACAGCCATTCATACTCACATTCACACCTACGGACAATTTAGAGTCCTTCTTGCTGTGAGGGACAATGCTAACCCCTGCCTTTAGAACTGCATTCCTTCTATATTCCTGTACCTGCATTACACTCAGGAATAGTCAGCTAAGATAAAATCACCTTACCAATCAACACGCCTTCACACTGCATGGAGACACATAGAAAAGGTCACTGGTCTTGACTGTGTGAGCAGGAAAAGTAGTACATTTCATAAATCAAATAATCCGTTTAATGTTCAATTTCTGCTGATATCCTCCTTGTCTTTGACTTTGTCTTCTAAATTTCTTCTACTTTGTCTTACTCCGTTACTATATCTGTAGACTTGCCTGCAGCGTGTCTGTCAAAATGACTTTAATCAAAGTGCTGCTTCTGTAACATCGCATACTGATGAAAGAAACTGAAGACCCTTGAAGACAATGTTTCCCCCTGCTCCTCTTTGTCCTTACATGTTTTTGCTGTTTATTTTTTCTTCCCTTCTCTCCCCCATGCAGTCTCTTTCTCTCCCTCTATCTCTCTGTGTTTCTCACCCTTCACCCTCCCCATTCTCCCAGTTTCCTAATCAGACTCACCCCTCGGGAGGGGGGACTGTCTCTCTCTGTCTCTCTCCCTCTCTCTCTCTCTCTCTGTCCATTACCTCCAGGAAGGAAAAGCACATTTAATGACCCCACGCAAACAATGACTCAACAAGCTTCTCTCACTTGTCTCTCATTTCTCGTTCAGTTATCATCTTTTTTCGGTTTGCCTCCAACTGACACGCCCAGCGTTGCAATTTCTGCATCTGCACTCCATCTGTTTGCTCAGCTATTTTGTTCTTTCTCAATCTTGCACACACACACACACACACACATTCACTTTTCACTAATTCACTGGATTGCTTTTTTCTCACTGATCTTTGTTCCTTGAGAGTTTGGTTTCTAGCTTTAATCACTGTTTTTTTTTTTTTTTTTCATTGCTTTTTTTCTAGTTTCTGTGGCAAATTTTTGGAACTGTGAAGCAGTGTAACTTTCTTGATTTTTGTTGTGGCTTTATCAAAGGACTGTTTTATATTATCGCTTCTTTGCGTCACTTCATTTTCTTCCCCCTTTTGCTTGATTTTTCTGATTCTTTGCTCATAACTTCACTCTTTTCTCCATCTCCCCATCCACCACCAGTCTCTGGAGAGTGCGCTTCGCCACCCTGGGGACAACCGGACACAAATCAGAGAGCTGGGTCAGACGCTGATAGACGGGGGCATTCTGGATGAACTCATTAGCGAAAAACTAGAGGCCTTCAATTCACGTTACGAGCAGCTCAACCACCAGGTCAGGACCTTGGCTTTGTGTGTCAGCGAATGTACTCTGTGTGTTTGTTAATGTAGAAAAAAGGCATCCATTATGTGTTATGTTTGGATTTGTTTCCAGTAAATAATGCATTAATTACAATGCATTTTCTTGTACTGTAGGAATCTGTATTTGATTATAACCTTTGTAAATATGATGCTGTTTCATTTTCTCCAAACACATCCAGAGGCTGTACACAGGAAAATGTCACTATTGAGATAAATAATGATAATAATACCAAACACATTTCTGTTTTCTTATATTTATATTAAGAAAGATAAAATATATTTTCACTAAATAGTACACTAACAGCGCATTTTATTATTTTACATTTGTTACATGATTCTGTTTGTAAGCATCTAAGCATTTGGTGCCCTCTTTGCATTATCAAGTCAAATACAATGGAAAATTGTATTTCAGATGGGCGTCCACATTCCTGAGAATAATTGTTAATAAAGTGAATATACCAGCTAGTATATCCATTTTTTCCAGCTACATTTTTAGGACATAAACTTCCCTGTAGTTGCTTGAATCTGGAATATCACAATACGGACATCCTTGACTGTGAAATATTCAAAGCGATGACTTGACGTCCGTGACCCCTTCCCTCCTCCAGGCGGTGAACAGGCAGATCAGCCTTGAGCAGCAGCTGCAGACTTTGAAGGAGAACGAACAGGCGCTCCAAACTCTGCAGGAGTCTCTGAGCCAGCTGGACCACACACTCACCTCCTATCTCACTGACCGCGTCGACGCCTTCCAGCTCCCGCAGGAGGCACAGGTACAGTTCACATGCACCTGATGGATGTTACTTCATGTAGGGATGTCTCACTTGGCTGAAGGAAATCCCTTAATCTAGATGCCCATGCAAGCAGTACAGTATTAATATTATACCCGCAGTAACACATCAGGTTGTCCATAGATGCTTTGGGAAACTAGCAGTGGTCAGCTGTCTGAAAAACTAACCTAAAGTTAGATGTTTTTGATGGGAAAAAATATTTTGCTCTTGATCTTACCAGCATCAGTATGTAGGAGGTCCTGTTTGTATCAGTGCACAAATTCTCATGGTGCATGTGTTCATTTCCACTTGTCCTTCAGACCATCGGGGCAGAGATCGCAGCCCACGAGGCAACAGTGGAAGAGATGAGGAAGAGGAACGTGGCCAACCTGCCTCCCCCCACCACTGATGGCAAAGCTGCCCGGGGTGGGACCATGCTGGACCAGCTACAGGTAACACTGACTCCTACTGGATAACATTGGGAACTGCAGGACATCTTGGGAGACTTGTTTCTCCTACTGCCACCATTACTATGTAATCATGCCATTAGAACTAATGTAAGAAACACTTAAGCCTTTATAACAGTGGAAAAAATACTAAATCATGGCAGCACAGTAAGAGAAGAAGAAGAAGCTTGTGTTTCCTTTGTTGTGACAGAGATGAATAGCTTTACTAACCCCTGCCCTTCACCCACTGCAGAGGAAACTGAGAGAGATCTCCACAAAGTACCAGCTGTTCCAGAAGCCAGCTAACTTTGAGCAGCGCATGTTGGACTGTAAGAGGGTCCTGGATGGTGCCAAGGCTGAGCTACCCATTCTGGATGCCAGAGATGTTGACCCAGAAAAAATCCAGACCCACCTCAATGGTTGCATGGTGAGAACTACAACTTTCTCAATCTCCTTTTTACACAAACATAAATGTGGGGTTCCTATGCAATATGGTAAAGTATTACTTGTCAGCTAATTTTCTTTTTTTTTTTTTAATCACAGAAATTATACAAGTTGCTGAGCGAGGTGAAGCTGGAGGTGGAGACGGTGATAAAGACCGGTCGGCAGATTGTGCAGAAACAGCAGACGGAGAACCCCAAGGCCATGGATGAACAGCTCACGGCTCTCAAACTACTATACAATGACCTGGGGGCACAGGTACCTTATTTTTACATGAAATGTCCTTGTTTTACAAAAAGAAAACATGTTGGATTATAAGTAATATTCAACACCTGTGAGACCAGTTAAAGATAACTTCATTTTCCTTTCCTTAACAGGTAACTGAAGGCAAGCAGGACCTGGAAAAAGCTTTGTCTCTGTCTCAGAAGTTCCAGAAGGAGAGTGCCGCCCTGGAGGAGTGGCTGACCACCAACGAGGCTCAGCTCCAGCAGAAGAACAGCTGTGGAGACATGCCCGCTGACATTGATGCTGAGATAGCATGGGCTAATGTGAGTTACTGTCCAAACCTTTCCATCAAATCTACAGCAGGAGCAAAATAGTGCTTCTGCTGCTGGCCAGTAGGTGGAGCAGAGAGACAATAAGATGTTCCTGAAATCTCTCTCTGTCTAACACTTGAGATAAACTGTAATCAGCAGGGTGAAAAGAGGACGACTGTGGGTGTTTACAATGCTTCACTGATAAAAAGCCTCGATTCAAACCACATCCACCCTTTTAAAGGGAGGAAATTGTTGAGAACTGTGTGGTCTCTCTCTGAGACTAAAACTTTAATATGAACCCACCCCAGCAACAGTATGAAAAATGAAACAGTATGAATTTTAAATGAGTTACAGGTTCCCACTACAGTACACGAAAGTGCTTTCAAATGTACTTCTTTTGTTCTCCACATGTATTTGTTTTTAATGTATGTATATTGACCTGCAATCATGCCTCATTTCTGGTGTGTATTACAGTGTGAGTGTGCTGCATAATAAATCCTAACAACAGCTAGCTGATATGGCAATAAATTACTGAGAGACGGAGGTCATCACATGTTTAATAGACTGTATATTGCATTGTGCGTGTGTCCGTGTCCGTCCTCCAGGGCCTGCTAAAGGAGTCAGAGCGTCGTAAGGCGGAGCTGTCCAGCCTGATGGAGACCAGTGCAGGTTTGCAGACTCTGGTGGAGGGCAGCGAGGCTCAGTTGGAGGACAAACTCTGTGGCCTGAATGAAGCCTGGGGCCGTGTCCGCACCTGGACCGAGGACTGGCTCAGCGCTGTGCTGGTGAGTGCAAATATTTTATACAGTAAGGCTTAATAAATAAAGAGTTACTGTGTTCTTTATTTCATGTTCTCTGAGTAAGAAGATTCTCCCACCTGCTTCTTTTTTTTGTAGTTTTATGCTTAAACAATACTTTTATTTGCCATCATTTGCAAATGAACAAGGGCTACCCATGGGGGGGTAAATTTATTTTTGTCATAGCTGAACCTTTTAGCATGCAATTTTCTTTGGGTAATGAGAATACTTTTATCAATAATGACTGCATTTATAATACATATTCAGTGTGCTGGAATAATCTAAGTTTTTAAATTCTAAAAAGTTCATTGAATTTTAAAGTTGTTTTTCTCCAACCATGGGAACATTAAAAAAAAAAAATCAAGGTTATTTCTTTACAACCCAAATAAAACAAGTCCTCATTATGCCGTGTAAGTCAAGTGATTGCAGCAGCTAAACAAAGAAATAAACTTACAATCAAGACCAAAACAAGGACATGCAAATCACCTCTTCAATAAAAATATATTTACCTTTTGAAGAGACTAAGAAGTGTTTCTTCTTGTAATTACGCACTGTGGCAAGTCATATAAAAGTAATGAAACACTCAGAGAATCATTAAAATGCCTTTGTTTCAGATTAAGTAGTAAATGGGGAAAACACAAGAGGATCTTTAACAGTAATTAATGTTTTTTATTTCCTACTAGAAACACTGAGTCTTTGTTTTTCCCTTGTATGAGTGCAGAGTCACCAGAATGAAGTGGAAATTTTCGACGAGAACTTGGCTCACATAAGCACCTGGCTCTACCAGACCCAGATCCACCTGGATGAGGCCGAGCGGCTCGCCCCGACAGAGAGGGAGAAGGTGGTAAAGGTAAGGCAAAAAGTGTGGATACAACATGCCCGTCACATAGAGGATAGTTAAAACTTGTGGGGTTAGCAGCGTGTCTTTTTCCATATTATCATATCAAAGTTATTAGTCCATATGTCTGAATACATTTGAAAATTGGCAGAGCTTATACCATAACAAGCAGCATCTAATAGTAGTTTAGAATTGCTTTATGGAAATCGCTTCCTCTGGCAAGGAAATGCATTCTGTGAGAATCCATCAAGAAAATCCTCTCCTGTCCTGTTACCTTGTGGTATACAGGGATTTTAATGCATTTCTACATGAGGCGAATAGCAAGGTAATGATTACTCATTTTGAAATGTCTTATTTTGGAAGTTTTTAATGTGTGGTTAAGATAGGAATTTTCAAGAAGCACATGTATTTGGACACTATTTGCACTTTTTTTGCGCACCGTAGTTCTTAATAGTAATTGCCCAATTTTTATCATGCATCACCTAATAGAATAAAAAAGAGTGAGAGCTAGTCTGGGCAGAAGAAAGGTGTGTATGGGAAAGAACGTGGTTAATAGAGAAAATGAGGAAAGAGGAGAAGATGAGCCTCTCAGAGTTATATTAAAATCTTAACCCTTCCCTTCCTCTCACCACTGAAGGTCTCCACTAAATACCAGCTGGTGCCTGGCTCCGCTAACCTTGATCAGTACATGCTGTGCTAAGCTCTTTGGTCTGAACCAAGGCTACGCTGCCATCTAGTCTGACAGAGAATGACTGATAGCATGAACTGATTTTAAATAGATGACCAGCTACTATGTGGTCTGTCCTCAGCGTATGCTGGAGGAGCTTGAGGACATCAGTCTGCGTGTGGACAACGTGAGGGACCAGGCCATCATCCTGATGACCAGCAGGGGGCCCGCCTGCCGAGAGGTTGTGGAGCCCAAACTGGCTGAGCTCAACTGCAACTTTGAAAAAGTATCCCAACACATCAAAACTGCCAAGGTACAAAATCATTAACTGTATGTAAACCTAAACCCACTGCATCAAATAAGTCAGCATTCATTATTACCTTTACTAATGCACAATACAGCGTGGAATTAAATCCTGCTATATATATATACACACACAAAGGTTAAAGGACTATTTCACCCCCCAAACCACCATTTGAATTGAAATGCAAATTGTAATTTAGTTGCTGAAGTATTTCCTTAAGCTGTCAAATTGAAAGAATGTGGCATTGTCTGTGCAGTCACTTCTACTGCTCCTTGTCTCTTTGCGTTTAGATGATGACCAGTCTGGAGTCCAGTGGTGTGGAGTTGAACCAGCAGATACCTCAGCAGGTACAGCATTTTCATCCAAACTACATTTAAAATACCTACAAAGACATTTTGTAGAAAATACTGCAAAGGTCTGTTTAGAATCAGTGTACAATCACAAATCATACTGTAGCTGAACACTCCCTTTGAGCATGCAGTTAGATAATTACATATATTTTACTTGTTTTGACCTGAGCTGTGTTTCTGCTCTTTCTCATCAGGTTATTTACAGCCAGGAGGTCCGAGCAGAGAGCCAGACTCAGACTCGTCCTGCTGAGGTTTTGGCCTCCAGTGAGGTGAAGGACCTGCAGGCAGAGCTCCAGGACACACTGAAGGCTCTGCAGCAGCAGCAAGACCCTGCAAACAGCCTGGATGATGACAAGGTACACAAGGTCATCTTTCAATTTCATCCTTTTGAAGCTTTTTCATTTAGTTTTTAATTGAGTACTCAGAATGATGAAGCTTGATAATTATGTTATCATTATGAGATATATACAGACAGACAAGTAGTAATTGACCCAAAATGTAGTAGTATTATATATAGGGAAATGGGCTCTCTGGCTATTGTCTAGCCAAATATATCCATTAAGGTTAGCCATGTCTAGCAATTTCCCAAATACATTTTGGAAACGCACAGAAAAAATTGCCCCAGGTTGCCTATTATTCTCTTTCTGAAGCTTTATGACATTTTCTGTGAGGAATATTCCAAGCTACAGGCTATATAAAGCTGCCACCTGATAAGGCCAGCTTTGATTGGACATTTCAAGGCCTAACAAGTCTGGAATCCAATCTGTGTTATCAAAGTTTATGACGTTAAACACACTGCCTGAACAGACCTGACCAGTCCAAATCAAGGTCGTGTGCAGGGGGAAGCTCTTGGTGTGTTTAAACAGTGTTTTTCTGTGAAACGTCGACAGCGTCTCCACTCTGAACAACGCATTGCTTGTTAAGCGAAGGAGCAACTTACAGCTAATGTCAGTTTCTGGTGTGTAAGTGGTTATTTCGTATGCTAACTTAACTGGTACATATATTTTAGATGTACTGAATCGTCAGTCTCCAAATGAGTTGGACCTGAATCACAGTCTCTTGAACTCTTCATTTGACTCGTCTGTCTCTTTATACCAGATGGATGAGGAGAAAGCCAGTGTGGAAGACTTGCTGAGAAGAGGAGAAGAACTGCTGCAGCAAACTTCAGACGACGGCCAGAGGGAAGAGTTGAGACTTCTACTGCTCCGGCTGCAGAGCCAGTATTCTTCTCACAGGGTGAGACGCATTAAAAAATATGCCGTGTCCTTCTTAAGCCGCGCTTATATGGGAATGTTTTTTTAATGCAAGAAATTGTAGCTCTCAGTCATATTGTGTTTGCTAGTTGTGCAATGTTGCGGTTTGGTCAATATTTGTGTGTGTGCCACCTTTAGGAGCTGAGGGTGCTACGAATCAGGCAGGTGGAAGTCTCAGAGTCGTCGTCTACTCTCATCTTCTCAGAGCAGACAAGAGACTTCTCAGTTGGGGTGAGGGATTCACACATGCATGAACTCATGTTCTGTGCATATAGAAACTAAATTGGACGCCCTAAAAATGTGGTATTTTACCCGTACGGGGATGGTTTAGCATGGTAGTCTTTGACAAACTCTGTGGCCATCCCCCTTGCTCTGGGGGCACTTTTATACTTTAATATATATGCTGTATGTATGCACCTTTGTAAGAATGCAGAAAAGAAGTCCTGAATTATTTTGGTTTGATGAAAATTAAAAGTTGGACTGAGTGGTGAAGTATGGGCTAGTTTTATATCTTTAGCCTGGAAAATAAGGTAAACTAGACTGAAAAATACACCAGTATGAAGGCATTTGGAACGTACTATTCATGTTTTCCTTTAATGTGTATATTTGGTCTCACACCTTTGTTCATGGCCATTGACTGTCTGCCTTTTAAGCCCATTTGGGCTGGGTATAATGCTAGATAGTACACAAACAACACTTTAAGTGCTAAATTGGATTCACTATATTGTTAGTTTAGCATAGTGTGCTTTGTTATGATTAGGTTGTAGGTTTTATTAAGTTTCAGTACAGTTTTCCTCTCTCACTTCCTTCTGGCTCGTCTTTTTCTCCTGCTGCTGTGTGTGTAGGAGATGTCTTCAGTGGAGCGTAGCAGTGCTCCCTCAATGACTCCCTCAGACTACCTGTTGGACATCAACAAAGTGCTCCTCGCCATGGCTGACAACGAGTTGCTTCTGAACTCGTCTGAGCTCAGCGGGGGGCTTTATGAAGACTTCTCTAGCCAGGAGGACACACTGAGGGTGGGTTGTCAAACAGTGTTATGGTAAATGTCACAAAAATGATCTGTGATATCATGCTGTGTTAGCTTTTGAGTAGCAGTTTTCACAAACGGAAAGAAAAGGAAGCAGAAAGTATATGAAGATGTGTATGTAGTAAAAATAGAAGAGATAACTTCATAGAAAAACAGTAGCTCTGCACCTTGGGGAGAGCTTTCCAAAGCAAAGTGTTCTGGTATCAATCATTCTGACGTGTGTGAACTTTTCTCAATCCTCCCTCTCTCACTGTGCTGTCTTTCTTCCTTCATCTTGGGTTTATTCTTTTTTTAGAATATCAAAGAAAATCTAGAGCACGTTGGCGAGCAGGTCACAGGGATCCACGAGCGGCAGCCAGATGCCATTCGAGATGCCTCACCTGCTGATGTTGCCCAGATCGGAGACGCCCTCACACAGCTCAACGCCGAGTGGGACCGCCTCAACCGCATGTACAACCACCGCAAGGGGTGCGTGCAACAACCCACACACAACCAGCGCAACAGATCACACTGTACATACACTCATCGACTAGACGTTAGGTGTAGAATCAGACTTGACACGGACTATGTTGCAGCAGGGGAGAGGAGCTGCTATTTTTAGATGTGAATGTATGTGAATCTGTGTGTCAGGGAATGTGGTCAAAGCTGCAGGGACGTTAAATACCAGCTGTCCGCCAGTCAGGAGGCAGGAAGAGCAGATAAAGAGACAGACCAAGGCACACAATGAAGCTCCCAAGATACACACACCGACCTTGATTACTATCAAAACAATTCCTTGGGCATAAACAGTCTCATGCCTATTCACATTTTCACTCACTCATTCACTTAGTGACACACACACATACACACACACAAACGCACGGGGTGACCTTGACTACCCCCCTTGGGCATAAACAGTCTTCATTTGCTTAGTACAGTATGTGCACATACTAGAATAAACTAGTAAGCTTATTCTGAAGATTGCACACAAATGCAGAGGCACTCCGTCTGTAATCACAATAACCTCTGGGCGTCATTAAAAATCAAAAGAATGGAGTATATTTTGTAAAATTGCTCGTCCAAAACTCATTTCCTCACCTTGTCTCTCTCATCAGATTTGTTGGGCTCTAAGCGATGCTGTGAGAGGAAATAGCCCTCACGCAGACCATCAGTGAGATAAAGATCTGTTTTTTATATTAGGCATTTTAAGTAATCAGCCTCTTCGTCTATGCTGATTTATTCAGTAGCATCTCTATGAACTTTCCTACGTTGTCAGGGGCTTCCTGATTGTTATGACATTTTCTGGTGTTTAATAGAGGTCAACGGTGCCATTCTTCCTTATCATAAACCATGGAATTTCCCCATGGGTAAACTCGATTGTACCGTTAGAGACCAGAATTCATTAATATCTCATTCAGTTCTGTATTAAGCCCACTGGCCCTGAAACAAGAGTAAAGATCTAGTAGCCAGAATCCAGTGTCATTGTTCTAATCAAGACCTTTGCTAAATGAACTGAGCTTTAAGTTTAAGAAGAATGACCAAAAAAGGTTTCCTAAAAAGTTAGTTGCTATTTCACTTTATTAAGGTAATTGGTCTCCACTTAAAATTAACTTCCAAAGTGTGATTTCAATTTGTGTGTTTGCTATACATTCAGCATTTCTTTTTTAGATTTCCTTAAGTGAATTTCATGTTTGTCAGATTTCCTGTTACGTATTTTCTTTATAGCTAGGCAACAGAAATCTGGAAAATCAGAATTTGAAAAAACACACTCCTCCTGTAGTTCCCCCTCTCCATTCTAAACCCCTCCCACCAGGAAATCACAGGCATATGCACACGCTTCATACAGTAAACCTGTGTCTCTCCTGCATTGACTTATTTGATCTTGTTTCATTGTATAGTTGCACACAGTGTATTCACTTATCCCCGTCTTGCCTCGCTCTGTCGCTGTCGTTTTGTCAGGCTACAATGAGAAAAGAATTAGTTGGCTAGCCATCCCTTGGTCTCTCTGCCTTACTTCCCGTTGCTGCTTCCCTGGGAGGAAAGCAGGCAGCAACTCGGGAGAAGGACCTTTGGTCAGCATCTATAGCAGCTTAATTACGGACAGCGCGACCCAATACACTGTGGTTTGAGACTCTCACTAATGATGGTTACATAGACGTAAACAGCTTTGAGCCTTTTCCATCGGTTTGGAGAAGGCTAAATTATTAGCACATTTTCTCTCCATCTCTTAAAGGCCCTATTGATATTGATTCTGTTTTGTTTCGTTTATTGTCAGACTCTCCTTAAGACTCTCTCTTTGATAAGAACGTCGTCCTCTTCTTGGTGGCTTTGCACTGTTGCCAGTACTAGAAAAACAATGTTCTCTGCACTCTGCAGGACTCTCCAGAGTCCAGATTGAATCAGGCTCTCACTGAAAGAACGTGCATGTGCATTTGCTATTTGTAGACCAGCCAATAGGAACACTTTCTTACTGAATTGGCCTGTGATTGGCCAAAGTCTCCCATCATGGGCTAGATTATCTAAAGCCTGAAAACGGAGCCAAGAGTGACGCCAAAATGAAACTGCCTTGCCCAGCTTTAATGATATAGGTAATAGGTAGAGTTAGAAAAATGTTCGGGGCGTCGGTGGCTTAGTGGTAGAGCAGGCGCCCCATGTACAAGGCTGTTGCCACAGCAGCCCGGGTTCGACTCCAGCCTGTGGCCCTTTGCTGCACGTCACTCCCCCTCTCTCTCCCCCCCTCACGCTTGTCTGTCCTGTCAAATAAAGGCTAAAAATGCCCAAGGGAAAAAAAAAAGTTCCAGTGTCCTGCCAGTGTTTCAGGTTGCACCTACAAACATTTTACACAATTTTGGATGTACATTTTCAAAGAAAGACCTGGTGTGTGAGTGTGTGTGTTTCTTTGCTCTGCTGCAGGAGTTTCGACCGTGCTGTAGAGGAGTGGAGGCAATTCCACTGCGACATGAATGACCTGAACCAGTGGCTGACTAATACAGAGACCCTGCTGTCAGAGAGCATTGGCCCTGATGGACAGCTGGACTTGAACTCTGCACGACAACACCAAGAGGTCAGGGGAGGGTGGTGGTGCAGGTGGAGGTCTGCGTATGTGTTCTGTGCAAGTGTGTGTGACAGCCCCCAGTTCAATGAATACTGGTGTATATCTGATCATTTTTACACGTGCAATTGGTCACACCAACCTCAAGACTTACTAAGTGCAGCACAGAAGTGTAAGAAAATATCGTGATACTGTACTGATTCTCCAAAACACTATTGGTTTTTAATTAATACTTTACATGCAAAGTTTAATGGTAGCAGGTATTATTTTGTATTTTTAGATGTTATATACTTTGATTGCATTCCACCTTAATCATTATAAACACTGATTAGTCAAAATATAGACTCACAATACCTCATATGTTTGCTCAAAGCAAGATTATTGCCTTCCCAGGCTGCAGTAGTAATATTTTTGAAATATAAGCAGCCAGATGGTTGGAAAGGTAACACCGGAGATAATTGCATTTTGTTCCCCAAGGGAAAAAATAGCCGGTGTTATACTGTACCTAATAAACAAACACACTGCACATCGACTTGTTCGTTACCCAGAACGAGAAATGGAAAGAAGTGAAATGAAGAGTAAGATGAGAAGGGGCCTCTAATTCTGCTTTCTTTGATTTTTAAAGCGCTAATTTAATTTCCAAGGGGAATTAGATTCTCTGACACCTTTTATCAGTGTGATTTGCAAAAGCTTGAGCTACGGCTCCATCTGTCTGGCTCTTTTACATGTTTTCACTGTCACTGAGATTGATACAGGGGATCAAGTGGATGGGAACTGAGAGATCAATTAGCTGACTCACCCTTGAGTGGACTTCACAATCCCTCACCCTGCTTTAAGGGTCTGTCTTGGCAAGTTAAATCTCTCTTGGTGCAAGTAGAGATTTGGCAGCTTAAATCTTGATGTGCCACAAATCATGCTTCTGTGTCAATCAGAGATTTGCTTGGAGAGATGGACTTGAGCAGGGGATTTGGCCCTGAGTGAATGGGCTTATGCTGCTTGATTGATCCCTGATTCCACCTCTTTTCTGTGCTCTCTTTAAATCTTTTATACGTATTTTAGGAGCTGGAGGAAGGTCTTGTCAGCCACCAGCCTGTCCTGGCCGAACTGACCCGCACTGGGGAGCAGATAATTGGGCAGCTGTCATCCCCTGACGGATCCCTGCTTGAAGAAAAGCTGGACACCCTTGGTCAGCGGTGGAGAGCTGTCAACCGCCAGGTCATCGAAAGACAGCGCAGGTAATGTATCCTCGCAAACACAAAGGATGTTATGTCACGTATGGATTGAACAGATAAAAGGGTAACTTTGATATTTTCCAACCTGGCCCCTTTTCCCCTCATGGTTTTCTGTCTAAGAGAGTAATAGGAGCAGTTTTTTAAATTGGTTCCAATTTGAGCAAGACCGAAATAGGCTTTAATCCCCACGGACAACTACACACCATCAATTTACATCCACTGAAAGTGCTTGTTTTTGCTACTGACTGGCTGAGATTGTTATACCTTTTTGGCAACATCACGGAGAAGATCCCTACAGAGTTAGATCCTTTTGTTAAAGAGTGAAATCCTTTTTTTTTTTTTTTTAAAAGAAAAAAAAAAAAGAAAAAAAGGAACAGTCCTGAAACCATCATACCCAAACACACCAGATTTTCACATTTAAGTGGGTGATTTAAGGGTTAATTTCAACCAAACCAGAGTTGGTGACTGTTGGAACAGTGAAAAAGACGAGCCAAGATAGTTTTTGTGAGTGTTATTTTGTTTTTGTCGACTTTGAATATAGTGTGTTTTATGATTATAGAATTCCTGTTTAGTTAAATGGAGTCAGGTGGGTTTGGTGATGGCGATTTTAGGGTGGCATCTGGATAAACAAAAGGATCTTACTCTGTAATAAAAAGCTCTGTTGCTGTAGGGATCCTTTCCATAATGTTGTCAGACACTTAGAATAACAAACTGAGCCTGTCAGTGGCAAAAATAAGCACTTCTAGTGGACTGAAACTGATGGTGCTTAATGCCTGCAGGGATTCCATTGCAGCCTGTTTCACCGCTGTGGCTGCAACGCTCTTGCTCAATACTGGACCAGTTTCAAAATTTGGTGTTCCGATTAGTCTTTTAGACACAAAAACGTAAAACATACGGTCCAGGCTGAAAAATGCTGGGGTTACCCTTAAAGGGGGTGTGGTCAAAGGTGGGTTCTGACACATGATACATTTCATTGTGGTGTCTTGACTATGTAACATTTAGTTTTACAGTATAATGTAGCACAGATTTGAACCTCCTTCTCCCTCACTGACAGTCTTCGTTTCTTTATCAGCATTTGGCAGGGTAACATTATCAGTGTGGTCAATCACTCTATAACAGTAATTTAAATGTAAATTTTAGGATTAGGCCTGCAACCTGTGGGAAATGGAGATCCTAATCTGAGAACAATAATGTGCACGTGTGTGTGTTTGTGTGCAGGTTGGCTGGAGGAGACCCAGCCCTGTCAGACCTGGTGAGGAGGCGCGAGGAGCTGGCTCTATGGTTGGAGCAGGCAGAGAATGCTGTCAGCTCCCTACCTGTCACTGCCACCGACAACAACCTCAAAGAACTCAAGGTGCAGCAAGCCCCCCGAAACATGCTCATGATATAGTGATTCATGGGAGCGCAGAGATTTCTATTTCTGCTCCAGAGCTGGTAGATTCAGCTATTTTTATGGTCAGCTCTGACTGTACTTTTCTTGCTCCCTGTATCTCAATCACAAGCAAAACCTGTCAAACCCAGTAAACATACACAGTGAGAGCCTAACTCTCACATCTCTTGTTTTGAACAATGCAATTTTGTTGGAGCGAATACAGTCACTCTGTGTTTTCTGTCTTCAATCCTTCCTGAGAAAAACCTCGGATAGACTTTTCCCCCCATGGAGACGCTTTGAGAAAAGTATAGTGAATGATGTGATGTGACGATCTGGAACAACTCTGCTCTGCTGCTGACCTTTACAGTGTTACTTATTGATATTTCTCTACTTGTTGTACTCTCATTTGTTAGTAAATGAACCAATCGATCCATCTTTGTGGAATTAAGAGTCAGTTCGTCTCCCCTTGCAGGCCCTTGCAGAGGAAATGGACGCACAGAATGAACGTCTCGGATGGCTTAACAAGCATGCCCCACAGATCCTGGCCAGTCCCAGTGTGAGCCCACAGAGCAGAGACCAGCATGTTGGCAAACTGAGAGCAATCAACCTCAGCTGGAGCAAGGTGCAAACTTTTTGTTAGTTTATTATACTTTATACTGCGAACCATTGTGATTCAGCTATACTGCTCAGGGAGCCACATTTGCAGAAAGCTGAGGGCCCGAGGGTCGGACATTTCCTTGAGCTGTTCTTCTTATAATGTATATGCATTTACCACAACACACCACCACATTTAAAAACCTTTATTTTGCTACTTGGCAATTTACACTCTCTCCTCCTTCTGTCACCCCTTTTTTTATTCCCCTTTTTTTGGCAGGTGACCCATGAGTTGTTGGACAAAGTGGGGGAGGTGGAGACCAACCTGCAAAGCCATGCCCAGTTCCAGGACAGGATGAACAGACTCACTGACTGGGTCGTCGTCACGCACCAGACAATCATGACCAGAGGCTTGACCCCTGGCCAAGCACAGGTAGATTGTCTGAATACATCACAAGAACCAACACATCTAACCTCATTGAAAATCCATTTTTGGACCTAAAATGAGTTCTTACCTATTGTAGGCTCTGGAGATCTCTATGAAAGACAGGAAGAAGGACCTGGAGGACCTGTTGGCTCATTCTATAGAGCTACAGAGACGACAGCAGCTGATGCCTCAGGAAAAGGTCCCGTTTTTCATAGTTACATGATTTAATAAAGACAAATTGCTAATTGCAACCTATGATTATACTGTATTACTTGTTAAAGTGTCTCAAGTTTAATTGACTGCCTTATTAAAAGCTGAATATACTCTGTTTCTCTGTTGTCATTAATTATATGTTCCTGTCGATGCGTTCATGCATACAGAGCAAGGTAGAGCAGCTTGCAGGTGATTGGAAAGCTCTGGATGGTCGACTGAGGGAAACTCTGCAGCCACCCGTGTCTCCATGGGCACAGCACCAACATGTCGTCCAGCACCAGCAGCTTGGTAATGATATTTAGAAATGCAATTATTTCATGTCATGATTTCTCTCATTTCTAGCTCTATTTATTTAACACATCAGTGGTGTATAGATGAAAAGATTCAACACAGTCCCACTTTTAGCCTTTGATGAGACTGGGAAAATGAGGTGTAGGATCATTAACAGTAGAGGACAAACATAAAAACATGTACTAGTATTACAGGTAATGAGAACTCAGGTGGCAGATTTGAAATTCCTTATTGGCTTGGCTTAATCTGGTGCATGAAAATGCATGATGAAATAACAAATAAGAGGTGAGCAACAAAGTCCTGCTTGTGTAACACTAAAACAAACCCTGGCGCCTCATTCATCATGATTTACTGTGATGCCACTATCCTCTGAGAGCTATTTGACAGCACCTCCTCTCTCGCTCCAACATCTTTAATGTTCATTGCATCATTTCCTTTTTAAAGAAGCTCTATATGTCAACATTACTTGCCTCGTGTTCATCGCCTTTTTTTTTCGTCCCCGCTCCAGTGTCTGCAGTCCCCTCAGCCGTGCAGATGGCCAGCCTCGTGAGCGAGGACCCCCACCACCAAACCCCACACACGCCGGACACCGTGGCACCCACCGACCTCAATGAGACAGCCACCGAACTGGCAGACTGGCTCCTCCTTATCACACAGATGCTAAAGTCTAACATTGTCACTGTGGGGGACACGGAGGAAATCAGGACCACTATGGGACGTCTTCAGGTGAGAAATGGGGAGCAGAGAGGTCAGATGGAAAAAAAAGTTGTGGATATGTGCATGTAATGAACATTTTTTATGAATAGTGCATGTTTCTTTGCAAAACTAAACTGCCAAGTACAATCCTATGACTTTCAGACTGTCTAACTGTGTCTGTGTGTATTTGTGAAGGTAACGAAGAGTGACCTAGAACAGCGTCACCCCCAGCTGGAGGACATTTTCACCCTGGCACAGAACATCAAAAACAAGACCTCTAATCTGGATGTTCGCACATCCATTACTGAGAAACGTATGTACAGAGCTGGATGATTACGGCCACTGAGCAGTTTAAAATCCACATTAGCTGCTCCAAATACAACAGGAACAATGTTTTTAGTTTTTTTTTTAGACTTAGTCTCAGGATTTGTAGAAATGTGCAGCTTGTTTTTAATTCTCATCAGTATTCACACAGTCATGAAATTCCTGGAAAAGTTATGAAAATAGAAAAAATGTTTTCCAGGCCTGGAAATGGTTTGGAATTAACAGGATGTTTTGGAAAAGTTTTGAATATACATTGTTTTGGCTATTGTTTATAATGCGTTCATAAAAATCCCAAAACATGTCTAACATTACGCAAAATATGTTCTACGTATTGCTAATTTAAAATCTAGTGGTGCTTTGTGTAACCGTCGAAACGTCACTTGTATCATGCGATACACATAAATCAGAACGGTATTGTGTTATTGCCAAGGCCACGTCCCTTTTTGGAGCATAGAATTACACTGTAACATCAGGAGAGAAACAGGAAAATGCTGAAAAGCTGTTGCGTAATAGGTTAACCAAGGTGTAAATATTCACTGTCATTGTGATAAATCGCTAAATGATACTAGTGACAATTACTCTTGATGTATCACTAGCTTGAGCAGGAGATTGCTGCGATAAAGTCATACAATATAGCAGCATCAGACATGGTCCCCTGACTTAATCTCAGCCTATAGATCAAACAGTCATTAATGTTTCTGTAGCTGTTTATCCTGTTGGGGGTCGCGGGAGGCTGGAGCCTATCCTTGGACAGGTCACCAGACTATCACAGGGTTGACACATAGAGACAGGCAACGATTCACGCTCACATTCACACCTATGGACAATTTAGAGTCACCAATTAACCTGCATGTCTTTGGGCTGTGGGTGGAAGCCGTAGTACCCAGAGAAAACCCACGCTGAGATGGGGAGAACATGCAAATTCCACACAGACGGGGTCCCCCACCCCAGTTTTGAAAGTTCTGAAACCCTCTTACTGTGAGGCGACAATGCTAACCACTGCGCCCTATAGATTGAACAGTTGGCTATCAATAGGTTGCTTATGTAAAGACAACACTTAGCCTAAAGATACCTTTATAAAGTTATCTCTTAGGCTCAGGTCCAGGCCAAGGTCGCAAAACAATTATCAGAAGTCCCTAAAACAGACGTATACCAAAAAGTAAATGCATACAATCTTGTCAGAATTATAACCTTCTGTCCCCCAAAAAGCGGCGTAGCCTTGACATTGCTGGAAGTGTCCATATGTGCTGGTCAGGTCTATTGGCACAGTTATGCAGCTAGCTGGCAGTGGGAATGTCTGAAAAAAGTTAAGTTAGCAAGCCCGAGCAGTTAGCTTGTAGTTAGCCTGGGAAGTGCTTGTCCAATTCTGATTGGCTGTATTGCTTCATAGGCCTAGGCATTTTAATCTACTTAAATAAATTCATGGAAATGGGCTAAAATATTATTGGGAATTTATAGGAAAGTTTTGAACATTCATTGGTGAAAATGCGTGGGAACCCTGTCTAATTGGTTTGGTTTTATCCTTTATTGAACAGTATTTGTATCTCATCATTTAACAACATCTTGGTTTTAAGGTGCTGTCATTACTTTGTGTTTGTGCCTTGCTGTTGAATATGCATCTGTCTCTCTGTCTGAAGTGGAGAAGGTACGCAGCCAGTGGGACAGCACTCAGCATGGCGTCGAGGCACGGCTCCAGCAGCTGGACAACATGATTGGACACAGCAACCAGTGGGAGGAGCAGAGGAGGGAGGTGAATGCTCTTATTGGGCACAACGAAGGACGTTTCCACTATCTTCTTCAGCAGTCGGGCGATCCCCTGACCAAACAACTTGCTGACAACAAGGTTAGGGAAAAGTTTCACTTCTAGACTTTCTCTCCATGTCCTCTGGGTGTCTAACGCCTGTCCTTCCTCCGGTCATTTATTGTCATTCTGTATACTTGTCATTATGGGTGGAATAGAAATGTACTCAAGGGAATTTGGCTGCTTACTTTCCTAATTGAGGAGAAAGTCTTAGATTACACAAAACTTTACTTTATAAACTATCAGAGGTCCTTGATACAGCTGTATGCAAGGTGGGAATGAATAAATCACCCCTCTGCAGTATCACTTTGGACCTTAATAACATCCGTACACCCACATCATCCATCATTTTAATTCGAGATGATGACTTCTAGGGAAAAAAAATCTGCCTCATGAGTGTGTCCAGCGCATTACAGGAACCAAACACTAGAGGGCAACTGAGTTTAACAGAATCCAGCAGGCTAGATACACAGCTATGTGCTCCTGGTTTGTGTGCTCTTGTAATGATGAGTAATTGTCCATTTAAAATAGTGAAGTGTACCTTGTTGTTAAAGGAGTAGAATGCCTGGGGGTCATATATGGATGACTCATTTGCTAATGCTAAATTTAAAATAATAACATGGCCTCATGAATAGCAGTAGGGGCTTATGTAACCTGCTTGATTAAGTAGAGGTTAAAATAACAATGTCAGATTGCTGAGCTGCAGAATAACAAATTTCTTTGTGTGTTTAGTGCCTGAACTTTAATTAAATTTTATAAACTTAAAAGAATAGGTCATTAATATTCCTGCTGGCATTATGTCAAAAGCTGATAGCAATATATAGAAAACGGTGCATGCAAATGAATTATCTAGAAAAGCAGTGCAAACAGGGGCTTTACAGTGACACACAGTGGTTAATCACATCTGTCACGTTTTGAATTTCATGATCACAGGTGTAGATTTTGGGGAGAATGCAGGGGACACGTCCTCTTTAATATTTAGAACATGTGCATTTGAAATTAGGTCTTCAATGCTCAAAATTCTCTGGCGCTGGACCCCTGAGTCGCTTGTTTCATTTGTCCCCCACACCATGTTCAATCAAAACCTATGCCCTTGTTCATGATGATCCTAACGCCACCGTGTTGATTGTTTTATAGGCATTCCTCCAAGACCTGGGCCGAGGCCAAGCTACAGTCGTGGCCTTCAACGAGCTGTCCAATCATCTTCTGCGGGAGTATTCTACTGACGACACCAGGAGGATCAAAGAGGTCACAGAAAAGCACAACGCTGCCTGGAACAGCATCAATAATAGGTGCACACACACTCACCTGTTTACCTGCACTTACAGTTTGACCCACAAGGGGCAGATATTGCTGCTCATAAACTTCTTTTACATGCATAATCATGTACTTATCATTATTGATTGGCAGGGCAAGTGACCGCCACGCCCAGCTGGACAATGAACTGAAGGGCCTGCAGATGTCTCTCAGGGAGCTGGAGTCCTTCCTCAAATGGCTCCAGGAGGCAGAGACGACAGTCAACGTTCTGGCCGATGCCTCTCAGAGGGAAGACCTGTCGCAGGACTCCGCCCACGCGAAGGAGCTGAGGCGACAACTGGAGGTAAGGCTGTGAACAGACAGAGAAACTGAGCTGTGTGTGTGTGTGTGTGTGTGTGTGTGTGAGAATCTATGCACAGGTGCAAGCCTGTTATCTCAGTGTCATCCTTCATTAACGCATCCTTCGCCAATAGTACTGAGGCAGAGGTGTGTGTGTGGGTGCATCCACGTGTAAGCGGCTGGTTTAAGGTGTGTGAATAGGAGGGCATGCAGAGGGCATGTGAGTGCTTGTATGCATTGAGTGCTGCACATTGATCCTCTTGTCCTATGCTACTTAGGAATTCAGTGCGTGTGTGCGCACGTTCTTGTGTGTGCTTGCGCTCCCTCTCACTAGCTTGTCATTTACCCAGACCTTCCCTCAGGGATCTGTTGACACACATCGTCTTATGCTTTATGTAACGTTTTAATCCCCAAATCACTTCACCTCACCCTTTCAACAGATGAATTGGGCACTAATATTCTTTTTTGTTGAAAGGTCTTTTTTTTAAAAAAATGCTGACCCTGTAAGTCTCACCCTCCCTCATCTCTTTTGGATTGTACACTGAGGGGCTGTCATTTGCACAACCTCCTTTTTTTTCAGACATTGTCAAAGATTTGGAGTACGCGTGCGTATCCAAGCTTCCTGTTGCTCTCCGGATAAACTCCTCGTCCCTGAGAAATTGCTGCAATGTCGTACATCTTTCAAAACCGAAAGCTTACGTCCAGTAATAACATTCTTGGTTTCTTCGTCTTGCGTGCGACAGAGCTATCACTCCCATTTCCATTGTCCGATTATTTAAAAGCAGGCCAAGGTTATAGAGAAAAATGACAGCGAATCACTGCATGAGTGGCCACAAAGATTTCTGAGGATTCATTAACTTGGTGTGGACGTGAGGCAAAGAGACTTCTGCAGCTCATTGTTGAGCCCTGGCTGGATTTGGTCTAATACAATTCTGGCCATTGGGAAGAAATGGATATTATTATCACTTTCATCTGCCTGTTACAGTGATCTATATTTGTTGTGTCGAACACAATCCATCATTTTAAGCCTTTTCCAGTTTAAGTTTAAAGGACACATTATACTGTTGAATTTTATTCCTGGAAAGTCTTTCAAAGTCATCTCAGAGGTCAAGTGTGTGGTACATGTATTAAAAAAACAGTAAAAGTTCAAATTGAATTCAGGTATTCAGGCTTCCCACGGTCGTGAGGTTCCTGGAATAGTTATGAATTGAGAAAAACAGTTTTTCAGGTCTGGAAATGGTTTGGAATTTACAGAATGTTTTGAATGTGCATGGTATTGGCTATTGATCACTGTGAGAAATCAGTCATAGGCTAATATCTCAAGACATACTGACGCATCAACATCTGATCTTCCTGAGTTGTTCGTCGCCCACTGTCTTCATTTCTATCCTTTTTTCTCATTGTCATCCCTCTGACTCAGTTGGAGTCGAGATTGATGGATGGCACTCATGTCTACCAAGTGGGATAATAAAACAGCCTTTGAGCCTCGGAGGACGCGTGTTGACATAGAGAGTTGTCTCTTCAACCCCTTTTATTAACTCACAATGACTGCTCTGCCACTGTCGAGTGTCGGGTTACTTTAATCACAGTTTTTCTGGCCACTGGCCATTGTCCCTCTCGCTGCTGTTTTGATATTAAGCGCACAGTTGGTGTGTTGTGTGGGAGCAGTGGCAGATACAAATGTGGCACATTAACTGAAATGTCTTGGAAACATAGAGGCTGAATGGATATTAGATAAAACTAAACTTAAAACTCAGACATATGATGCATTGGTGATAGACTGGACCACAGGAATCGCCAACTTTTGTAAATGCAAAATTCGCAGTAATGTGGACCAGCACCACTACAGCTCATTAATGATCATCTATATCTCCATAGATGAGAAGACTGATACCATTCTTCTGTCAAGTCAAGTCAATATTCTTTATATAGCACCAAATCATAACAGAAGTTATCTCAGGACAGTTTTCATATACAGCAGGTCTGGCACTCTTTAATTTAATTTACAGAGACCCAACAATTCCCCCATGAGTAAGCACTTGGCGACAGTGGCGAGGAAAAACTTCCCTTTTAACAGGTTTTGTCTGTCCATCAAGCGCCAAGCTAGCTGTTTCAACTAATCATTTTTCATATGTGCACACTGGGTGTTTCTGTGCTGGTGTCTTGGGCTCAGGAGGATAGGTAGGAAGGTCATTTGTTGGCAGGTGTTTGACCCAGAGGGAAAAAGAGTTTTTGACAGCTGTAAAGATTTGTTTTTCACGTTGTTTGGTTTATTGATTGAAATGAAGAAAATGGACTATATTCGCCCTTATGCATGATGGAACGAATAAAGAGGATTGTTATTCTGCATCTGAGGCCTGCAGGTCCTTAACTCCACGCAACCCACACAGAAAGGTAACGTTAGTGTTCTCTTTAAAGTGGTTAACTGTAATACTGTTTCGTCATCTTGGCATTGGAGGTACAGGTGGGCAATAAAGATAATATCATACGACAGTGTATGTAATTTTATATTGCATTATCCCTATATAGCGCATTGTGGTATAGCTTATTTTCTTCAAACGTGATTGAGCAAATCATGCATATATCCAATCTTGCCATAAAGCAGCCCTGCTTGTTAATTAGCAGCATTGTCTGCAATGGTCCAATAACAACCAGAAACATTAAAGGGCTAATTAATTCTGAATCATTTTTCTGTCATCGCACGGTGCATAATATCACATTGTGTAACTCTTACTGGAGCTGGTATGTGGTATATAAGTCTCTCCATCATCACTCCACACACACACGTGCTCACATGGTGGAGGGTATAGCAATAATGGCATCAGCAGAGAAGTGCAAGGTGCACACAGCTGGAGGAGCTGCTTTTATCAAGCTCGACCATACGTGTTTGGCTGTGGGCACTGGAATAGCACATGTGCCTTTGTGTTGTGTGTGTGTGTGTGTGTGTGTGTGTGTGTGTGTGTGTGTGTTGACCACAGCAATGTGAGCAGCAGAGACATACATGCCTCCTACAGCGCCTTAGTTTAGACTGGGCACTGTCAGTCCCATTAACACTGAGCCAACAAAACACTCTCCCTTGTAATTCCCCGTGAAGCAGAGTCGATACTGTGGAATGACTGGGATGGACGCTATAGCCAGTTAAACCTTGTCTAAACAGAGCCCTTCAGTAAGCTCATCGTGATCCCCTCTCCTTGTGGCTGTGTGTGTGTATCTCTCGGTAAACGATGATTACTCTAGCTGGTAGCGTAGGTAAGCTGCGTGTTGGTTTAAAGGAATTTGTTTGTGTTCGTTTCTCCTCTCTGCCTCGGAGTCTCTCTTCATCTGTATAAAGAGACAAGGCAAGCGGGGGCCAAGCGCTGTAATGCATCCCATGGTGTTCCACTGAAAACACCATTTGTGTATGTGTGTAAGTTTGTGCTCATTTCAAATGCATGAGTCATAGTAACGGGGAGCCGTCGGTGTGAAGCGTGCTGCTGCTGGGCGATACAGAGGTTTTCATCCTCACTTCAAATAGATGCCCCTTGTGTTGGTAGAAAGAGTTTTTTATTTCAGTGGCACTTCAAATAAAAAGTCAAGAGAAAGAGTCATAGACAACATGAATAGGTTTAGAATCCCCAGTGTGTAACACCGTGTGGTCAGTGGCTCTCTGCGGGAGCTGAGCGGCCGTGTTATGATAATCTCTGCTGATTGTGCACCTATCTCTGCTTTTTATGTGACTCTTTTCTTCCGATGCCTTTTTGTCTCTGGATGTCATCTCTCTGGTATTTGTGTGCGCTGCTGAGAGATTTACTCTCTCAAGATTTAAACGTTTTCTGCGTCGATAAAAGATGTTTAAAAGCTCTTTATCTTCTCCTGACCCTGCCCTCCTACCTTCTCACTTGCTGGTCTACTTTACTCCCACTTTCCTTTTCGTCTTCTTTCATTTGCTGTTTTCCAGTAAGGCCTCTTTTCTTCTGCGTTAATCTTTTAAAAGCTGCATTTGGGGCCACACGAACACATAACAAACACAGGAGCTCTCTCTCCCACACACAAGCACACACACACGCACACATTCTATAGTGTCACGAAGTAGGAAGAGCTGCTGGTTTCTGAAATATTTACTCCACTGTGAATTTCCTATTGTAATGATAAGCTCAGTGTTAGAAAAGAATGAGTCTTTTGGATTATTAAATGGTACTGTAGATTTATGCTATGGCTATTCATTTAAATTTTAGTTTGAGAATAAAAAATGCGCATTTATTAGAAAGTCATTTGAGTTGTCACCAAATTGGACAGGTGTCTGAGATGACCAACATCTCCGAAAGGTACACTAATCGAAAATGAAAGAGTTAAGGCAATGATCATGTTGTTACCATGTGAGTAGCGGCATTATTTTGATCATATCATATTATTGGGCAGGGGACACATTTGGTAGTGTAAATCAAAAGGTTTCTGTCAATATTTTTGTTACGCTTTAATAATAAAAACTTAAAAACATGACAAATTTATCATTATCCTGCCGAATTCCGCCAGAGGAGTTTTCAAGCCCAGAGGTTTAAGTATTCATTTGCTAGGGAAGACAGTGCGATGTGAATTAAAGCTTCACAAAAAGCTAGTCGAACCTTGATTTGTTCTATCAAACCTTTTGTTCTACCCATTTTAACTTTGTGAGAAATCATTTTTTCTGCCAGTTTGGCAAAGCAAATGGCTTTACTGATACTAATGAGCTTCAGAGCTGCAGGGCATTAAAATAACTTTGTTATTGCAACTGTGAATTTGTCAAATTCATACAGATATGATCCTTAATCTAGTCAACTAATTTACGCTGTAACAGCGGGTCTCTACTAAAAAACATAATTATTGGCATTAGTGGCACACATCACAAATTTAAGCTATGATTGGAGTAGCTGACACTCACCTCGTTAACTCGTCTATTTACATTTTTAAGCACGCCCGTAATTTTGATTTTAATCAAAGAAACTGATGTTTTTTTAATACAGTCACTCAGCTCCTGATTCAACCAGG